TTGGCCCTGATGAAGCAGATGTAGATTCCTGAAATATGCTGGCTCTCCTGAAACCTTCAAAATACATTCCAGTTCTATAAAGATTACTGTGGCATAAAACATTTCTTTGGACAAAGGCAATGTCCCTGTTGATGGAATGAAGTGCTTTTCTTTTATGTCACTTCATGTATACACACATGGAGTGGGATAACTCTACCTTGTCAAATAAGCAGCCTACAATTTCTCCAAATTCTCCTCTGATCGAAAGAGCTAGTAGCGACTTGGTGTCTCAGAAAGGGTGATTGAGGTGATTTGGGTAATTTTGTTTTTTTTTGGCCTTCAGTGGAAACTTTCAAACTGCTGCAGCACTTACCTGCTTAGGCTCACATGGGGTGCCATGTTCAGTTATAGAAAAGAGTTGGGGGAAGTACTGGTTTTCAGTGGAAGGGGGGCATTACAGGTGCTCAATGACGGGTGCAATGACAAGAGGAGTACAGTGCTGCTTCTCTGTGGTTTGGTTGCAGTAATGTTGGAAGGAATGAAGTACCCATTTATGGAGTAGGGATGCAGGGTTGATTATTAAGCCTCCTACACACTATGAGAATATTGGATGAATGATTGTCCGTTTTTTCTTTTGCATGCTAGTCTCACTTAAAAAACAAATAGGTTACTAGAGTTAAGAAAATTCTTGTAAGTGCTGGTCTGCAGTGGGAGGGATACAGTGCTGGTTCTCAGTGGTACGGGCACAGAGCTAGTTCTCAGTGATAGGGGCACAGTGTTGGTTCTCAGTGGAAAGGGCACAGTGCTGGTTCTCAGTGGTAAGGACAGTGCTGGATCTCCATGGTAGGGGTGCAGTGCTATCTCTCATTGGTATGGGCACGGTGCTGGTCCGCAGTGGTAGGGATACAATGTTGGTTCTCAGTGGTACCTGCATAGAGCTATTCTCAGTGATAGGGGCACAGTGCTGGTTCTCAGTGGTCGGGTACAGTGCTAGTTCTCAGTGGTAAGGGCACAGTGCTGGTTTTCAGTGGTAAGGGCACAGTGCTGGTTTTCAGTGGTAAGGGCACAGTGCTGGTTTTTAGTGGTAGGGGTACAGTGCTGGTTCTCAGTGGTAGGGGTACAGTGCTAGTTCTCAGTGGTAAGGGCACAGTGCTGGTTTTCAGTGGTAAGGGCACAGTGCTGGTTTTCAGTGGTAAGGGCACAGTGCTGGTTTTCAGTGGTAAGGGCACAGTGCTGGTTTTCAGTGGTAAGGGCACAGTGCTGGTTTTCAGTGGTAAGGGCACAGTGCTGGTTTTCAGTGGTAAGGGCACAGTGCTGGTTTTTAGTGGTAGGGGTGCAGTGCTGGTTCTCAGTGGTAGGGGTACAGTGCTAGTTCTCAGTGGTAAGGGCACAGGGCTGGTTTTAAGTGGTAGTCGTTCAGGATGAAAAGATGGTAACTACAACCTAGATGTAGTGCTTTTGTACAGTATATCAGTTTCCACACAGAGGGTGGGTTTGGCTCTCTCAGTGTTCAGGGGGGCCTTGTCCCAGGTCTCTCTGATAGACATGAATGAACTTGGTCAGTATGAGAAAAAGCAGAGATTGTGCTTGATGGATTTGTTAGCAAACTGGAGGACCAAACCATAATATGGAAAGAGATCACAATGATAGATGTAAACTTCATAAAAAAAAGTATTTATTAAAACCCCAAAGAGGTGTTCTGTAACTATCAGCCACTTTCTCAGAGTGTCCCACAGATTCTTGGTCTGCTAATGCTTGTCGGGCAATCATTGATGGGAGTCTGTGAATGGTGCAGTGTTGAGGGAATGGGTCCAGTGTCAGGGAAAGGGGTGCAGTGTTGGGTGTAGGAGAGTCATCCTGGCAGAAAGGGTGGTGTGGTGCAGGGCTGATGGTGCAGTATTGTGGGCAGGGGTGCAGTGACAGTGGAAAGGGGTGCAGTGTTGAAAGTAGGGGTGCAAGGGATGCAGTGCCAGCAAAAGGAGAGCAATATTGGGAGTAGTTGTGCAGTGCAGGGAGATGTGGTGCAATGCCAGTGGTAGGGGTGCAGTGTTGGTGATGAAGTGTTGGGGGTTGAGGTGCAGTACCGCAGAAGGTGTGCAGTGCTGGTCAAAGGGGTGCAATGGCAGTGAAAGGGGTAATCAGGGGGGAAGGGGTGCAATGTTGGTGGAAGGGGTGCAGTGCTGGTGGAAGGAGTGCAGTGTTGGGGGGAGAGGTGCAGTGCTGGTAGAAGGAGTGCAATACCAGTGGAGGGGGTGTAGTGTTGAGGGAAGGGATGCAGTGTAAGTAGGAGTGCCATGCTGGCGGTAGGAGTGCAGTGTTAGTGGAAAGGGTGCAGTGTTTGTGTTAGGGGAGCAATGCCGGTAGAAGGGTGTAGTGCTGATGGTAGAGGTTCAGTGTTAGTGGAAGGAGTGCAGTGTTGGGGGTAGTGGTACAATGCTGGCAGAAGGAGTATAGTGCCAGTGGTAGGGATTCAGTGTTAGTGGAAGGGGTACAGTGCTGAGGGAAAGGGGTGCAGTGGTAGTGGAATGGGTGCAGTGTTTAGGGTAGTGGTGAAGAAGAGGTGGAAGGGATACAGTGCCAGTGGTAGGGGTACAGTGCCAGTGGAAAGGGTGCAGAGCTGGTCAAAGGGATGCAGTACTGGTTGCAAAGGTGCAATGCCTTTGGAAGGGGTGCAGTGTGTGTGGGAGTGGGCTACCATGTTGGTAGAGGGGGTGCAGTGCCAGTAGAAGTGGTGCAGTGCTCATTGAAGGGGTGCAGTGCTGAGGGTAGGGGTGCAGTGGAAGTAGAAGAAGTGCAGTACCAGTAAAAGGGAAGCAAAGTTAGGGGCATGTGTGCAGTGTCAGTATAACAGGTGCAAAGGTGATAGATGTGGTGCAGTGTTGCGGAAGGGGTGAAGAGCTAATCAAAGGGGTACAGTGGCAGGGATAATGGTAGAAGGGGTGCAATGTTGGTGGAAGGGGTGCATTGTTAGTAGAAACTGTGCAGTGCTTGGGTTAGGGGTGCAGTGCTGGTAGAAGGGGTGTAATGTTGGTGTAAGGGTTTCAGTGCAGGCAGAAGAGGTGCAGTGCAGGTGGTAGGGGTGTAGTGCTGATGGTAGAGGTGATGTATTAGTGGAAGGGGTGCAATGTTGGAGGTAGTGGTACAGTGCCAGTAGTAGGGGTCCAGCGTTCATGGAAGTAATGAAGTACTGCAGAAGTGGTGCAGTGCTGGTTGAAGGGGTACAGTGAAAGGGGTAGTTGTGTTAGATGGGGTAGTGGTGATAGATGAGGTACAATGTTGGTGGAAGATATGCAGTGTTATGCAGTGGTATGAGTGTAGTGTTGTTGGAAGGGGTGCAGTGTTGGTGGAGGGGATGTAGTGTTGAGGAAAGGAGTGCAGTGCTAGTAGAAGGAGTGCTGTGCTCAATGAAGGGGTGCAGTGCTGAAGGTAGGGGTGCAATGTAGATGAAAGGGGTTTAGTGCCAGTAAAAGGGGAGCAATGTTAGAGGTAGGTGTACAGTGTCGGTAGATGGGGTGCAATGGTGGTAGAAGTGGTGCAGTGCCACTGATAGGAGTGCAGTGCCACTGGTGCAGGGTTGGGGATAGGGGTGCAGTACAATAGAAGGGGTGCAGAGCTAGTAGAAGAGATACAGGGTTGGGGTAGGGGTGCAATGTTGGGGGTGCAATGCCAGCAGGTGGGGTGTATAGTCAGCGGAAGGGATGCAGTGTTCAGGGAAAGGGTGCAGTGCTGAAGCAAGCGGTGTGATGCCTGTAGAAGGGTGCAGTGCCAGTAGGTGGGGTGCAGTGAATTGGGTGCAGTAGGGTGGGGGTGCTGTGCCTGTAGAAGGGGTGCAGTGTGTGTGTGGGAGTGCAGTAGGTAGGGTGCAATAGGTGGGGTGCAGTGCCAGTAGGGGGCAGTTTTGGGGGTGCAGTGCCAGTACAGTGGGGTGCAGTAGGTTGGTTGGCAGCGCCAGGGCTACAGTAGATGGGGCTGCAGTGTCATGGGTGCACTAGGTGGGGTGCAGTGCCAGTAGGTGGGGGGCAGTGTTGGGGTGCAATAGGTGGAGTGCAGTAGGCAGGGGGGGAGGGTGCAGTAGGTAGGGTGCAGTAGGTGGGGTGCAGTGCCAGTAGATGGGGTGCAATGTTTGGCATGCAGTAGGTGGGGGCAGTGTTGGGGGGTGCAGTAGGTGGGTGCAGTATTGGGAGATGCAGTGTTGGTGGTGCAGTAGGTGGGGGCAGTGTTGGGAACAGGGGCGGACTGACCATTTGGAAACTCGGGCCCAGGGTCAGTAGGGGGCCCCATGAGATGCCCCTGGTACCTTTTTCATAGGCTTTTTTGAGTTTGGGCAAGGACACGGGCCCCATGATCCCCTATTGCCCGGGGGCCCCATGAGTTGTCAGTCCACCCCTGGTTGGGAGTGCAGAAGGTGGTGGTGGGGGGGTGATGGGGGTGCAGTAGTTAGGTGCTGCGTTGGGGGATGCAGTAGGTGGAGGCAGTGTTGGGGGTGCAGTGATGGGGATGCAGTATTGGGGTGTGCAGTTCCAGTAAGTGGGATGCAGTGCAGCTAGGTGGGGTGCAGTACCGGTAGGTGGGGTGCACTGTTGTGGGGTACAGTGTCAGGGGGTGCAGTGTCGGTAGGTTGTGTGCAGTGTGTGTGTGTGTGTGTGTGGGGGGGGGGGGGGGTTGTGCAGTATCGGGGATGTGCAGTGTGGGGGGGGGGGGGGTGCAGTGTTAGAGGGGGGGTGGAGTGCCAGTAGGTTGTGTGCAGTGTCGGGGGGAGGGTGTGCAGTGTTGGGGGGGGGGGGGGGGGTGCAGTGTCGGGAGGGTGTGCAGTGTTAGAGGGGGGGTGCAGTGCCAGTAGGTTGTGTGCAGTGTCGGGGGGGGGGGTGTGCAGTGTTGTGGGGGGGGGTGCAGTGTCCCGTACACCGGCGGTGAGAGCTGAGCTCAGCCCAGGGGCCGGTCTTATTACATAAGCGGGGCTGTGCGGAGAGGGTCGGGCGGGGAGGGTAAAGTCCGGGCGGTGCAGTCAGTCGGGATCGGTGAGGATGGACTCCCCGGCTCTCTGGCTCCTTCTCCCGGTCTCTCTGCTCCTCTCCCGGCCGCCCCGGCTCCTCTCTCACCCTCAATGTCTGGACTTCAAGCCCCCGTTCCGCCCCCCCCAGGATCTGACCTTCTGTGTTCAGTACCGGGAGTTCGGCTGCTGCGACTCAGCCCGGGACCGGGCGATCCTGGACACCTTCTACCGGGTGATGGGCAACGTGGACGCGGCCGGGTACGAGCTGTGTGCGGCACATGTACAGGACATCCTCTGCCAGGTGAGGGGGGTCTATACATGACACCGTGCAGGTGTGTGTGTGTGTGTGGGGGGTCTATACATTACACTGTGCCAGTGTGTGTGTGTGTGTGGGGGGGGGGGGGGGGGTTCTATACATTACACTGTGCCAGGTGTGTGTGTGTGTGTGGGGGGGGTCTATAAATTACACTGCCAGGTGTGTGTGTGGGGGGGGGTCTATAAATTACACTGTGCCAGGTGTGTGTGTGTGTGTGTGTGTGGGTGGGGGGGGGGGGGTCTATACATTACATTGTGCCAGTTGTGTGTGGGGTCTATACATTACACTGTGCCAGGTGTGTGTGTGTGGGGGGGGGTTCTATACATTACACTGTGCCAGGTGTGTGTGTGTGTGTGTGGGGGGGTTCTATACATTACACTGTGCCAGTGTGTGTGTGTGTGGGGGTCTATACATTACACTGTGCCAGGTGTGTGTGGGGGGGGTCTATACATTACACTGTGCCAGGTGTGTGTGTGTGTGTGGGGGGGTCTATACATTACACTGTGCCAGGTGTGTGTGTGTGGGGGGGGTCTATACATGTGATCCGCAGCGAGCATCAATAATACGTTAAAGACACTCCAAACCCAGGTCAGCCATGCAGTGCATTTCCCATGCCATATCTCATGATACAGAAGTGCCAGGTCATCCGGTCGCAGTGCGTTTCCAAAAGTCGTCCATGCACTGCTTTTGGTGCGCTGCGATTTCACTGCACAGATATGCATGCGAGTCGCACGGGAGCGCACGGTGCATTCCTGTGTGATTTCTGGGTTGAGCCGGCCCTTACAGTTCTGGTGACATGTACAAAATATGTGATGAGACAGCAGGAGACTCGCAGCGTCATATGGCCGAGGTTATCCTCAGGTCACCCTAAGTCCTCATGCACACGGGACGTTTTTACAGTGGCTGTTTTTGGCTTTACACATTTTTTTTCTACAGCCAGTAACCCCCCAGCATGTTATCCTATGTGTCCATACACACACAGACTGGAATCAGCATTTGTGTGGCTGGAAAAAACCCCCCCAGAACTAGTGAGTTTCAGGAGGAGTTTTTTAGCTGTAAAAACACTCTAACACTGAAAAAAGCTAAAAAAAAATGCAGTAAAACGCAGCAAACCAGTGTTTTTGGATTTTTTTGACCACCCCAAATTTTTTTCGTTACAAAAACGCTAAAAAACGCAAACGCTACTAAACGCGGCAAAACGCTAATGCAAAAACGCTTAAAAAAAGCTGAAAAACTCCGGTTTTTAACATGACTTTACACAGCTAATGTTACCAGCATTATCAAAACGCACCGTGTGCATGGAGCCTTAGCCCGGGTTTACATACATGCAGTGCGGTATATCACATGTGATTCGCACAGGAACCACACCGCAAACGTGCAGGACCCCTTTTTTTTGGGTCCGCACTAGAATCGGATCGCATGGGTATTCACACCTATGTGATCCGATTCTGCACATCGCACTGCGTTTTGCGGACCACTTTCAGGGTGTTGTTAACGTACACACACCCGCAGCGGTTCGCATGAACGGGGTTCGACTCTGATGCGGTGCGGAATTTGCACAGAATTGCACCGCTGCGAATTCCACATCAGTGTGAACCCGGGCCAAAGGACCAGATCAGCATGATGTGAAGAATCCTATCACTGTGTCAATATTTTGTTACATATTTACTCTTTCAATACAAAAGCTCTCCTTCAGCTTTGCAGCACTACACAATGGTTGTGCTTTACTGCTGCATTTCACAATGCAAGTCTATGAGTCACCCGAGTCACAGATACTTCCACAACTGTCAAAAAGAACATGTAGTGAAGAATAAATACCCCGAAAATCCTAGCTGCCTTCTTGTTATGCTAACCCAAAAGCTTCAATACATTGAGTCACTGATCTTGAACAAGTATGCAGGAGGCGTGACTTTCCTTTGCCTTCACTGGCTGCATGCTTGTATTAGGTAAGTGACTTAGAAGTCCAAGGACAGATGGGTCGTATTTCTCTCAGCACAGATTATTTTTTAAGTCAAAGGGCTAAATCACAGGAGAGAGAGAGAGAGATGAGAGAGAGAGAGAGAGAGAGAGAGAGAGAGAGAGAGAGAGAGAGAGAGAGAGAGAGAGAGAGAGAGAGAGAGAGAGAGAGAGAGAGAGAGAGAGAGAGAGAGAGAGAGAGAGAGATGTGCTCAAAAGTTTGCATCCCCTGGCAGAAATTGTGACACTTTGGCATTGATATTGAAAATATGAGTGATCATGGCAAAAAATGCTCTTTTATTGAAGGATGATGATCATATGAAGCCATTTATTATCACATAGTTGTTTGGCTCCTTTTTAAATCATAATGATAACAGAAATCACCCAAATGGCCCGGATCAAAAGTTTCCCTCCCCTGGAGTGTTTGGCCTTGGTACAGACACACAAGGTGACACACACACACGGGTTAAAATGCCATTTAGAGGTTAATGTCCCACATCTGTGGCTTTTTAAATTGCAATTAGTGTCAGTGTATTAATAGTCAATGAGTTTGTTATGCAGGCCATAGATGGGGAGAAAACCGGCCGATTTTTCTTTAAAAAAACGAAAAATCGGTCGTTCCATCGTCCGACGTTACCAGGAACGGTAAAAAAAAAAAGAAAACGGCCAATTTTCATCCCGTCTACAGCCGGCAAAAAGTGTCCCTGCAGAGAGCTCTGCTATTTCTTTGACAGTTCTTTGACATTTATAGCGGTTGCAACAATGTATCTATTTGTATCCATTTAGGATACAGATGTTTTTATTCGGAAACAAATAGATACATTGTTGCAACCGCTATAAATGTCAAAGAAATAGCGGAGCTCTCTGCAGGGACACTTTTTGCCGGACTGGAATTCCTCCTCCTCCTCCTTTTTTATCGGTAAAAAGATCGGCCGATTTGCCCATAATAGCCGCGAAAAATCGGCCGATCGGCAAAATCGGCCGATTTTTTTTTTTTCCAACTTTACTGATAAAAAATCTGCCAAAATACCAAAAAAAACGGCCGAACAATTAGTCCACTAACGATCCGAAAATCGGCCGATTTTATTTTCGGCCGAAAAATCGGCCGATTTTCGACCCATCTATGGTCTGCATTAGCTCTTACACGGAAGCACTGACTAGGCTAGATACTGAGCCATGGAAATCAGAAAGAACTGTCAAAAGTCCTGCGTAACAAGGTAATGGTACTTCATAAAGATGGAAAAGGACATAAAAAGATGTCCAAAGCCTTGACTATGCCAATCGGTACTGTTAAATCACCTAAGTGGAAAGTTCGGGGATCTCTTGATACCAAGCTATGGTCAGGTAGACCAAGAAAGATTGCAGACATAACTAACAGACGAATTGTCCGGGTTTCAAAGAAAACCCCACGGGCAACCTCAAGAGAAATACAGGCTGCTGTGGAATAAGATGGTGCTTTCTCACTAAATCCTTGCACTCACTATGGGTTTCCTTTTCACTGAATGCACAGTATATGGGCTTTGCATATATTTTCTCTCTGTCTTCATTTATTATAATCAGGGACAGACTGAAATACAGTGTTAAAGAATGTCAATTTTTTTCCATCAGGTAACTGCACAATAGTGGATATCGGTTTTATGCAGTTCTCTATTCCATCAGTGGGGGGAGCTCTAGTCTGTTTTTCACATTCTCATCTATTTCAGCTTTTAGCCGTGCCTAAAGAAGCCAGTTCTTTACAGGACTGGAAAACGTCTTCATGTATAACTAAAGACAAAACTTTTTTTTTTATTGTAGTTGTGGATAGAATGGAGAGGAATTACAACTCTGGTCAGGTTTTCATTTCTGTCTGTGCCCCCGTTTAGGAGTTTCACCCTCTCTATATGTCCTGTGTACGATTATCATTGTGATCCTGGTGACAACCAGGGATTCCCTTTCTTTGGAGGGATTTACTCTTACTTCCTGTTTTTTTTATGGGACAGGAAGTTATGAGAAATCTTCCAAATGAGACACAGATTGCAAAAATAAAACTGACAAGGGTTATAACCCTTCCTTACTCTATCCAAAAGGAAAAAAAAGTTTGCCTTTAGTTCTCCTTTAAGAGCAATGACTCTTCTATTATCAGATGTCTAAGTCACCAGTCACACCGCTGCGATTTAAAATCACGCGATTTGTGTGTAATTTCAGCGTGATTTCAGGTGTGATTTCTGAAGAGGTTATTGCTACTTGTGAAGATGTGCAACGATTTCTTGCAATTTGCAGTGCTATCTCCATTATATTCTATGTATGGTAAATCTCAACAAAAATGTCCTGCAAGAACTACTTTAGAAATCGCACTGCAGCAAATCGCACATATTAAGATACTGACATTCACATTCATTAGATGCAATTTCAGGTGTGATTTCAATTTGCAAATTGCACCTGAAATCACACCAGTATGACCGGGCACTAAGGTTTCTAAAGGTCAAAGGGAGCTGTAAAGAAAACTGCTCTGCTGTCTTTAGCTAACCTATATTGCTGTGAGATTCCTTTGTCGTTAATGCAGTGTTTCTCAACTCCAGACCTCATGGACCCCCAACAGGTCATGTTTTCAGGATTTCCCTCAGATGAAACAGCTGTGGCAATTACTAAGGCAGTGAAACTGATCAAATCACCTGTGCAAAATAATGCAAATCCTGAAAACATGACCTGTTGGGGGTCCATGAGGACTGGAGTTGAGAAACACTGCGTTAATGAAATGCTCAATTGTAAAGCTTAAGATGGTAAAGATTGTGTGTATACACAGTATGTGTGTTATTTTGTATGTATAAATATTTAACAGTTTAAACCCCATAAGCTTCAAAGCCCAACTCCAGGTAAATTTATTTTTGTTTTTTTTTTAAAAAGTACCCAGCCAGTCTCCAAAAAAAAAATGTTTTTCTTTTAGTACCTCTTCTCCACCATAAGTTGTCCTCAGTCTTCTGGTTTGAACAATGCCCAGCATCATTCAACCTGAGAGTGGAGAGCATACAGTACTGTGAGTGCAGAGCTTCTTAGACCCAACCCCCGAGGGAGCGTCGTTTTCCAAAAGAGGGATATCAATTGTTGGGCTGCGGATAGAAAGAAACGTAGCAGACTTTTCTTCTGCGCAGCCATTGAAAATCGCACATATTAAGACACTGACATTCACATTCATTAGATGCAATTTCAGGTGCGATTTCAATTTGCAAATTGCACCTGAAATCACACCAGTATGACCGGGCACTAAGGTCTCTAAAGGTCAAAGGGAGCTGTAAAGAAAACTGCTCTGCTGTCTCTAGCTAACCCATATTGCTGTGAGATTCCTTTGTCGGTAATGAAATGCTCAATTGTAAAGCTAAGATGGTAAAGATTGTGTGTATACACAGTATGTGTGTTATTTTGTATGTATAAATATTTAATAGTTTAAACCCCATAAGCTTCAAAGCCCAACTCCAGGCAAATTTATTTTCGTTTTTTTTTTTAAAAAAAAGTACCCAGCCAGTCTCCAAAAAAAAAATGTTTTTCTTTTAGTACCTCTTCACCATAAGTTGTCCTCAGTCTTCTGGTTTGAACAATGCCCAGCATCATTCAACCTGAGAGTGGGGAGCATACAGTACTGTGAGTGCAGAGCTTCCTAGTCCCAACCCCTGAGGGAGAGTCGTTTTTCAAAAGAGGGGTATCAGTTGTTGGGCTGCGGATAGAAAGAAACATAACAGACTTTTCTTATGCGCAGCTATTGAAAGGCGCACATATTAAGACACGGACATTCACATTCATTAGGTGCAATTTCAGGTGAGATGTCAATTTGCAAATCGCACCTGAAATTGCACCAGCATGACCGGGCACTAACGTTTCTAAAGGTCAAAGGGAGCTGTAAAGAAAACTGCTCTGCTGTCTTTAGCTAACCCATATTGCTGTGAGATTCCTTTGTCATTAATGAAATGCTCAATTGTAAAACTAAGATGGTAAAGATTGTGTGTGTTTACATATATATATATATATATACACACACACTTACAGTTTAGACAGACACAGTAGTTTACCAGTATTAGCATTAGCAGCCAGGTCACTATCTGCATAGAATTTGCACATTCTTCCTCTGTGTAGATTTCCTCCTATGCTCCAAAGATTTGCCGGTAGGTTGCTTGGATCCTGTCTAAAATTGGACCTAGTCCGAAATTCTACCGAGCATGCCCAGGTTGGCTGCCTCACCTCCCATGTACCCCAACAGCAATGTGATGAGCTTTGAGCCCCCAAAAAGAAAAGTACTAGAAAAATTGATTAAATATATATATACACAGTATGTGTGCTATTTTGTATGTATAAATATTTAACAATTTAAACCATATAAGCTTCAGAGCCCAACTCCAGGCAAATTTATTTTCGTTTTTTTAAAAAAAAAAGTACCCAGCCAGTCTTCAAAAAAAAATGTTTTTCTTTTAGTACCTCCTCTCCACCATAAGTTGTCCTCAGTCTTCTGGTTTGAACAATGCCCAGCATCATTCAACCTGAGAGTGGAGATCATAGAGTACTGTGAGTGCAGAGCTTCCTAGACCCAACCCCCGAGGGAGCGTCATTTTTCAAAAGAGGCGTATCAATTGTTGGGCTGTGGATAGAAAGAAATGTAACAGACTTTTCTTCTGCGCAGCCATTGAAAATCACTCATTTTAAGACACTGACATTCACATTCATTAGATGCAATTTCAGGTGAGATTTAAATTTGTAAATCGCACCTGAAATCGCATCGGTATGACCAGGCACTAAGGTTTCTAGACCCAACCCCCGAGGAAGCGTCGTCCCATCACTCTGCACTCACATATGTCAGTGTCACTCTTTACATCATAGAGGAATGCCTGCAGCCAAGAGACGATCTGAAGAGCAAGGGCCCTGGTGTGTCATATGACCAGCCTGAAGGCTTCGGAAAACAGTCAGTATGAAAAATTAATATTGCAAAAAATGCATTGTTGAGGGGGGATGTGGGTGATAAAATTGATACAAAACCATTTTAGTCTCCCTCTATATTCTTATCAAGCTTTGTTTTTATAATTATGTTTATTCCCTGTGTCCTCAGGAGTGTTCTCCCTATGCGGCTCATTTGTTTGATGCCGAGGACCCCGCAACCCCCGTAAGGACCATTGCAGGGCTTTGCGAGGATTATTGCGCTGACGTCTGGGAAAAAAATGCCAATCCATCTTCAGATACATGACATCTGACAAAGAGCTGTTGTCCTTGGAAGGGAACATGGCAAAGTTCTGCCGCCACTTGTCGCTGGATGACGTTGACTACTGTTTCCCGCGTTTGCTGGTGAACACGAAACTGAACAAAGACTTGGGCTTGGTGACGGCTGACTCAGAGGGCTGTCTGCAGCTGTGTCTGGAAGAAGCGGCCAATGGTCTTCAAAATCCTGTGGCCATGGTGCACGCCAATGACGGCACGCATCGGTTCTTCGTGGCGGAACAGGTGGGCCTGGTATGGGCCTACCTTCCTGACCGTTCCAGGCTGGAAACTCCATTTTTAAACATCTCCAAATCTGTCCTCACCTCTCCCTGGGAAGGCGACGAGCGAGGGTTTCTAGGAATCGTCTTCCATCCAAATTTTAAGCACAACGGAAAAGTCTATGTTTACTACTCGGTAGAGGTTGGCTTTGATGAAATCATACGAATCAGTGAATTCAGAGTTTCCTCTCATGACATGAACATGATTGACCACAGTTCCGAAAGGTAATTTTCCACACATTTTTCACGTGGCTGCCCGGCAGCTTTTTAAATTATTAACGAACGCTGGTGCTCTGGGCAGAACGCCACCTGTCTGCAACCTCCGCTCTGGAACAAAAACATGGACTTTGTTGCCAAATTGGAAGGAAGGTTCTCGGAAAAGAGAATGCCAGGAAAAAAATGCTAGATGAGTAGCTTGAAGCAGACCACTTATTAGGCAGCCCCCTACAACCAGATTAAGTAAAAATAAATGAAAAAAAAAATTCAGAGTAAAAAATAATCTGCTTGCACTTTACCACCATATTAAAAAGTGCTAGCTGAAAGTAAAAAAGAAATAGAACTTAAAAGAAAAAAAATATATATATATTTCCCGTTTAGCCAAGCTTGTTCCTTGCCACTGTATTAAAAATTGCTAGATGAAAAGAAATTAAAAACTCAAATAAAACAAATAAATAATAATTCCATTTCAGCCGAGCAACATGCACTTTAGCAACAGAATAAATACGTAATAGCTGAAAGGAAAAAGGAAAAAAGAACTGAAAGAAAAAAAAATATATACTCTTTCACTCAGGCATGTACCTTACCACCAGATTAAACAGTGCAAGCTGAGAGTAAAAAAGAAATAAAAAAATTAAAAGATAAAAATAAAATAATAATTCCCTTTCACCCTGGCATTTTCACCAGAAGTAAAAAAGTGCAAGCTGAAAGTAAAAAGAAACAGAACTTAAAAGAAAAAAAATATATATATTTGCCGTTTAGCCAAGCTTGTTCCTTGCCACTGTATTAAAAATTGCTAGATGAAAAGAAACTAAAAACTCAAATAAAACAAATAAATAATAATTCCATTTCAGCCGAGCAGCAACATGCACTTTAGCAACAGAATAAATACGTAATAGCTGAAAAAAAAAGGAAAAAAGAACTGAAAGAAAAAAAAAAATATATACTCTTTCATTCAGGCATGTACCTTACCACCAGATTAAACAGTGCTAGCTGAGAGTAAAAAAAGAAATAAAAATTTCAAAGAAAAAAAAAATATTACTCCCTTTCACCCCAGCATGCACTTCAGCACCAGAATAAAAAGTTATAGTTGAAAGTAAAAAGAAAAAAAATTAAGGACTTTTTTTTTTTTTTTTTAATTCCCTTTTACCCCAGCTTGCACCTTATCACCTTATTTCAAAGAAGTGTTACCTGCAATGAAAAAGAAATACAACATTCAAAGAAAAAAAATTTAAAAAATCCCTTTCCCCCAGCATGCACCTTACTACCAGAATAAAAAGTGCTAGCTGAAAGTGAGAAAGACATAAAATTTTAAACAAAAAATTCCCATGCACTCCAGCATGCACCTTGCCACCAAATTAAAAATGGCTAGTGGAAAGTGAAAAGAAATAAAAATGTTAAAGAAAATAAAATTCCCTGTCACCTTGGCATGTTCCTTATCTCCATTAAAAAGTGTTAGCTGAGAGTAACAAAAAAAAAAATTAAAAGAAAAGATAAAAAATAAATTGTGCTAGCTGAAATTAACATTCAAAGAAAAAAAAATTAAAAAATATTTCCTTTCACCCTAGATTGCACCTTAGTATCAGAATTAAAAGTACTAGCTGATAAAATTGACACACAAACCATTTTAATGGTATTAAAGGTGACCTTTCCATTTCAGTAAGAAGCAACTCTAAATTTCTGAACCTGTCCAAAAATTCAATGCACTATGGCAATCTGGAGGCATGCTGAACAGAGCTGGTGTATGGACTGCCTCCAGAATGTCATTTCCTGCTTGGTGGGATTGGCTCAATGATTTTCTCAGAAGTCTGCACTACGATACAGGTACAGTTTTATGCATCCCCTGCAATAGGATGTTAACCACCTCCCGTCCGGCCGTTGTATATAAATGGGTGGACGGTGGCACTGCAGGGTCCAGTGGCCGTTTATAAAAGGCCTCCCCAGCCCCTGCTTGTGCGCGCTTCCTAGGAACGCGCAGCACCGCAATCCGGTGCCGCTGTGTCCTCCGGACAAAATGGAACACCAATCGTCGTGCGGGACCACTGTGCGAGGTCCCGATCATGTGATCACTGATTAGCCAATCAGTGATCACATGCAAAGTAGTAAGCAAGATGTCACTTTTGACATCATTGCTTACTACTTATGAAATCTGTGCATGATCACAGAGGTCACATGGTACAAGGCTATTCACAACAGCCTTGTACCATGTGCCAAGCTGTGACCAATCACACCTCACACAGTATTCTCAATGGCTGCAAGAATGCAGCCAGAGAGAAGGAGAAATGATTGATTTTACAGCCTTTATGGGTGTAAAAGCAATCAGTGTAAAAAAAAAAAAAAATCTTCATCATCTCCCACAAGTAGTACAGTGTCACCATAGTGACGCTGTACTGCTCGGGTGACAGTATGTTAAAAAAAATAAAAAAAATAAATAATAATATAAAAAAACTAAAATAAAAATGTAAAAAATGTTTTTTAAAAATTATAATTTTTGGTTACAAACTAAATTGGGTTATTTTTTTTTTACTAAAAAGATAACTGAATACATTTTGGCCAAGATTTATGATGAAATATTATTTATTTGCAAACTTTTATAAGAAAAACATTTTTTTTTCCAAATTTTTGGACTTTTTCATTTATATAGCAAAAAAAAATAAAAATCCCAGTGGTGAATAAATACCACCAAAATAAAGCTTTATCTGTCTAAAAAAAATGCTAAAAAGTTGATATGGGTACAGTGTTGCATGACCGCGCAATTGTCATTCAAAGTGTGATAGCGCTGAAAGCTGAAAATTGGCCTGGGCAGGAAGGGGGTAAAAGTATCCGGACTGGAAGAGGTTAATTGCTGTTTGGATACCCCCTAAGGGGTAAGTACTTCTGAAGGGATACAGACACAGCAACGTTCCTCTTTAGAACACTGAGAGTACACCAGGTGATTATAATGAGTGCAGACCCTCCCATTTAGGCCCCTTTCACACTGACCATCCGATCGGGTCCGTCTATCAGTTTTCCAGGTGGACCCGATCGGACCATTCATAGACCTCTATGGACCAGGGGCATCTGATCTGATCCTGTACGCCAAAAACAGACGAATCGGATGACAGTGGGGAGGAGACGAACAGGCGGTCCTTTTCCATCCGACCGCCCCATAGGAAAAAGCAGGCTGTGCCTGTGTCCGCTCTGCAGCAGCAAAGCGGACACAGACCTGTCATCCGCTTGCTCAGCGGGATCCCCTGCTTAGCCAATGGATCTGCTGGCAGGTCCACCCTGTCTGAAAGGGGCCTAATGCCGGCCATACACCGGTCGAAATTCGACTGAATTTTCGGACCTAAGAATAGTCGGCCAATTTTCACTCTGTTAGTGGGTCAATGGCACCGGACGATTTTTGTGGTTCCTCCCCTTTTCGGTGATCGGGCATGTTGGAAAATTTGTGAAAAACAACAGATTTTCGACTCAATGATGGTCAAATCGTACGATCGTTTTTCCGAAAAAGCATATGCGCATGAGCCGTGACCTGGAAGGAACAGACGTTTCGCCTGTTATATGGGGTGAACTTTATGACTTGGTTGGCCAATTTTCGAAATCATTGATGGCACCATCGGACTACTTTTTCGATTTTCGAACAAAAAATCATTTGGAATTTGGTCCATGTATGGCCTGCATAAGAATCAGTCTTGCAAGACTGCCGAGCAGACAGCTTTTCTTCAGAGCAGACAAAGGTAAGACTCCGCCACAACATACATCGATCACCCAGAGAGGATTGTACATGGACTTTGCATTTGCATGGAAGGTGCACTTTAAAGTGAAACTTTTATGTCATAGAAAACTTGCTAAGAACACTACAAAACTGCAGGCACCTTGTGCGGAGGCGGGGTCTGTGCACAGGAGGGGGGTGGGGTTTAGTGCCGACTTTGCCAAAAGTCAAGTCTTTGTATAAAACCTGAGCTAAAATTCCAGGGGCCCCACAGGGAATAAAGATTATCAATGGATATCAGCAACTGATCGGTTCAAAGCTGAATTTCCTAAATAAGGGAAACATTTATTTTTAATAAATTATGTTTTATTGATTTGGGCAGAAAGACATTATAGAACTCATACATATTACAGTAGACCTAAACCCTAACTCATTGACAGTTGCCTTGCTAAAGTACTGCTTATCATAAACAATTGCCATTTTTAACAATGTAATACTTTTTTTCGATCCTTTGCTGCAGCTCAGTGCTGCGGATCTCCTGCAGCCTCTTTACAGCCACTTCATGTCTACATAAACTCCAGTAATGGCTCCAGAGCAGGTTTCCTGATGGTGACAACAGTGGACCATGCCTGTACAAAGTGTGTTAAAAATGAATGCTTTTAGTCTCCACTGGAGATCCGTGTGACAACACAAGAGCACAATTTGGAGACAGGTACAGAGCGTTGTCACTTCATAAGAAGAAGTACCTGTACAAGGACCTTCATGTAGGATCACTAAGGATTCTTTCAATGAAAGATACAGATTTAACAACGTTGAAAGTGACCTTGAATTTGCATTAACAGCGTATGGGAAATATACCTTACCAACCGATCTGTGACTGCTGCCCCTCTCTGCCAATCCCTTCGTTGGCTTCCACTAACCCAACGTATAAAATTCAAAATACTAACCACAGCTTGCAACATCCACAACACTGCCCCTAGCTACATCGCCTACCTCATCTGCAGATATCGTCCAAATTTACCACTCCGCTCCTCCCAAGATATCTTCCCCTCTGGCTCCCTCATCACCTCCTCCCACGCTCGCCTCCAAGACTTCTCCAGAGCCTCTCCCATCCTCCCACGCTCGCCTCCAGGACTTCTCCAGAGCCTCTCCCATCCTCCCACTCTCGCCTCCAGGACTTCTCCAGAGCCTCTCCCACGCTCGCCTCCAGGACTTCTCCAGAGCCTCTCCCATCCTCCCACGCTCGCCTCCAGGACTTCTCCAGAGCCTCTCCCATCCTCCCACGCTCGCCTCCAGGACTTCTCCAGAGTCTCTCCCATCCTCCCACGCTCGCCTCCAGGACTTCTCAAGAGCCTCTCCCATCCTCCCATACTTGCCTCCAAGACTTCTCCAGAGCCTCTCCCATCCTCCCACGCTCGCCTCCAGGACTTCTCAGGAGCCTCTCCCATCCTCCCATACTTGCCTCCAAGACTTCTCCAGAGCCTCTCCCAGCCTCTGGGACTCCCTCCCACAGTATTTTCGGTCAGCCCCCACCCTGTCTGCCTTTAGGCGATATTTGAAAACTCATTTATTCAGGGAAGCCTACCCCACCTCCACCTAAGAACTGTACTTGAATCACCTCCGCCAAATCATCCCCTGCAGCTATCACCGTTTGTATCACCTCCCCCTTCCTTTAGGGCTCATGTACACTGTAGCTGATAAACTCACATTTAGGAGCTGTTCAGCGGTTTTTTTCAGCAGCCCCTGAACTCTCCTTAATGTTTTCCTACGTGTCCATGTACACATCATCGTTTACAGGCAGTTGAGTTTACAGTCGTTTTTTTGAACGCAACAAATTTGTGTTCAGACATTGATTTTATCAGCGTTTCAAAGCAAAAGGTGCTTTTCAAGTTTTCAAGGTACTCAGATGGACAAAACACTGAACACAGGATGTTCCTACCAAGCTTGTCACACATTGTAATGACCATTCACACCTCAGACCTCTCCCACCCTTGGAAACAAAAGATATGGTAATGACCATTCACACCTCAAATTCTTCATGAAGACCCCCTGCCAGGTGGCCTTAATGACTCCCTCCACCAGACACCTTTCCCTCCCTTGGAAACAAAAGATATGTTAATGAGCAACTCACACCTCAGACCTCTCCCACCCTTGGAAACAAAAGATATGTTAATGACCATTCACACCTCAAATTCCTCATGAAGACCCCCTGCCAGGTGGCCTTAATGACTCCCTCCACCAGACACCTTTCCCACCCATGGAAACAAAAGAAATGTTAATGAGCAACTCACACCTAAGCTAATGTCAACACATACTGCTGTCTCTGCTTCTACTTTCTGTATATCTCTGAAACAGTCTGAAATAGTTAATAATTTACCACTTTTCAGTGCATTTTGGGCATTTGGGAGGTTCTCCTGTGCTTATCTTTTAAAAAATGCTTCTAAACGCAAACACGCATAAATGTGTTATGCAAATGCAGCTAAACAGATGTTTTTTAACCTACGTTTTCCAGCAGTCAGTTTCCATCGTTCAGAAACATCCCGTGTACATGGGGCCTTAGATTGTGAGCTCATTGTGAAATGTGTTGAACTGTATTGTCTCCCATCATATTGTAAAGTGCTGCGCAAACTCTTGGCGCTGTATAAATCCTGTATAATAATAATAGTGGTGGTTAGGTTTACATCTGCTACTATTAATACTTTATTATTGGTTCCAGCCCTCTATGTTTTATGCTTTGTTATATATTGTCTACATATTATTTTAGAATAATCCTGGAGGTGGAAGAGCCAGCGTCCAATCACAATGGCGGAGAGGTGTTGTTCGGAGATGACGGCTATCTCTACATATTTATTGGAGACGGAGGAATGGCTGGAGATCCATTTGGGAAGTTTGGGAATGCACAGAACAAGTAAGAACATTCACTGATGCCCTAAGGGAACTTGTACTAAGTGTATTCATAATTTTATGTTTCAGCTATTTATCCTGGGGGGTCTCATTAATTCAGAATTCTTGCTTCCGTTCTGATTGTATTGCAAACGCACTTTTTCTGTGGACTGCTGAACATTTTTTAACCACTTCAAGCCCAGACACTTTTACCCCTTCCTGTCCAGGCCAATTTTCAGCACTATCACACTTTGAATGACAATTGCGCGGCCGTGCAACACTGTACCCATATGAAGTTTTTAGCATTTTTTTGAGACAGATAAAGCTTTATTTTGGTGGTATTTATTCACCACTGGGATTTTTATTTTTTTGCTATAAATGAAAAATTCCAAAAATTTTGAAAAAAAGTGTTTTATTTATAAAATTTTGCAAATAAATATTTCATCATAAATTCTGGCCAAAATTTATTCGGTTATCTCTTTAGTAAAAAAAAAAAAAATAACCCAAATTAGTTTATAACCCAAAATTATAATTGTTTTAAATTTGTTTTTACATGTTTATTTTATTTTTTTATATTATTTGTTTTTTTTTTTCTACATACTGTCACCCTACCAGTACAGTGTCACGGTGCCATGGTGACACTGTACTACTTGTGGGGGGGTGATGAAGATTTTTTTTTATACTGATTGCTTTTACACCCATAAAGGCTGTAAAAGCAATCTTTTTTCCTTCTCTCTGGCTGCATTCTTGCAGCCATTGATAAATACTGTGAGAGCTGTGATTGGTCACAGCTTGTCACATGGTACAAGGCTGTTGTGAATGGCTCTGTACCATGTGACCTCTGTCATCATTCACAGATTTCACACGTAGTAAGGAATGATGTCAGAAGTGACATCTTGCTTGCTTACTACTCTGCATGTGATCACTGATTGACCAATCAGTGATCACATGATTGGGACTTCGCACAGAGGTCCCGTCCGACAATTAGTGTTCCACTGTGTCCGGAGGACACAGCAGGCACCGCTCCCAGGGAGCGCGCACAGTCCATAATGGCGGGCGCCGTTTATGAACGGCAACCCGCCCCTGGACTGCCACCGTCTGGCCGTTTATATACAGCGGCCTGACAGGCAAGTGGTTAATATTAGGTGGTTGTAGAGGAGGAGGATGAAAATGTAGAGCTTGACAATTAATTTAGCAAACCGGACACGCCAGTACTAATTAAATGGTATACTTATTTATGACAGGTATTTATATTGCACCGAAAATTGTATGGACCGCTTTACATACTGCGCATTCACATCAGTCTCTGCTGCCCAAGGAGCTTACAATCTAACATTCCTATCTCACATACATACACTACTAAGGGCAACTTACACAGGAGCCAATAAACCCACCTCATATCCTCCAGATGTAGGAGGAAACCCACACAAGAACAAGGAGAACATACAAACTCCATGCAGATAGTGTCCTGGCCGGAATTTGAAGCAGGGACCCCAGGGCTGCCCAATCATTGACTATACCACCTAGCACAGAGAGAGATGCATCTGTTGGGAATTTAGGGAGTTTTCTTTTTACAAAGAAAAAACTTCAAATAGGGATTGTGGAGGAGTAGAGCGATTTTGCCAAAAATAATTTTGCTGCAAAAATTCCAATTTGACCTTTAGCAAGGTTTCTAAGAAACAACTAATCGACAGAATCGATTATAAATGATTATGAAAATACATGTCAGCTATTTTCATAAGCGATTAGTTGGCCTGCATACAGAATGCATTATTTGTTTGCAGCTCACATCACATACAGCTCAGTACACCGTCCATACATGTCAGTATACACAGTGCAGCACATATACAGCTCAGTACACTGTCCATGCATGTCAGTATACACAGTGCAGCTCACATACAGGTCAGTACACCATCCATACATGTCAGTATACACAGTGCAGCTCACATACAGGTCAGTACACCATCCACGCATGTCAGTATACACAGTGCAGCACATATACAGTTCAGTACACCATCCATACATGTCAGTATACACAGTGCAGCACATATACAGCTCAGTACACCATCCATACATGTCAGTATACACAGTGCAGCTCACATACAGGTCAGTACACCATCCACGCATGTCAGTATACACAGTGCAGCACATATACAGTTCAGTACACCATCCATACATGTCAGTATACACAGTGCAGCACATATACAGCTCAGTACACCATCCATACATGTCAGTATACACAGTGCAGCACACATACAGCTCAATACACCGTCCATACATGTCAGTATACACACAGTGCAGCACACATACAGCTCAGTACACCATTCATACATGTCAGTATACACAGTGCAGCACACATACAGCTCAGTACACCATTCATACATGTCAGTATACACAGTGCAGCACATATACAGCTCAGTACACCGTCCATACATGTCAGTATACACAGTGCAGCACATATACAGCTCAGTACACAGTACATGCATGTCAGTAAGTGAATATGTGAGAAGCAATGCCTCGTGGGACATGTAGCCCTGGGCAGGAGAAGGAAGAGAGTAATTCTGAAGGCAGAAGTTTTTTCAGCTTGCTATAGGGGCACGCTCTACTATACTTTCAGCTTGCTATAGGGGCACTCTACACTATACTTTCAGCTTGCTATAGGGGCACTCTATACTATACTTTCAGCTTGCTATAGGGGCACTCTATGCTATACTTTCAGCTTGCTATAGGGGCACTCTATACTATACTTTGCAGCTTGCTATAGGGGCACTCTATACTATACTTTCAGCTTGCTATAGGGGCACTCTATACTATACTTTCAGCTTGCTATAGGGGCACTCTATGCTATTCTTTCAGCTTGCTATAGGGGCACTCTATACTACAGTTGCAAGAAAAAGTATGTGAACCCCTTGGGATTACGTGGAGTTTTGCATGAATTGGGCATAAAATGTGCTCTGAACGTCATCTAAGTCACAACAATAGAAGAACACAGTCCGCTGAACATAAATACTACACAAACATTAGATGCTGCCATGGTTTAATTGCACATAACATGTAAACATTCACAGTGCAGGGAGGAAAAAGTATGTGAACCTTTGGACTTAATAACTGGTTGACCCTCCTTTGGCAGCAATAACCTCAACCAAATGTTTCCTGTAGTTGCAGATCAGACCTGCACAACGATCTGGAGTCATTTTGGACCACTCCTCTTCACAAAACTGTTTCAGTGTAGCAATATTCTTGGGATGTCTGGTGTGAATCGCTCTCCTAAGGTCATGCCACAGCATTTAAATCGGGTTGAGGTCAGGACTCTGACTGGGCCACTCCAGAAGGCGTATTCTGTGCTGTTGCAGCCATTGTTTTGTTGAATTACTTGTATGCTTTGGGTCATTGTCCTGTTGCATCACCCATCCTCTGCGGAGCTTCAGTTGGCGGACAGATGGTCGTACATTTTCCTGCAAAATGTCTTGATAAACTCTGGAATTCATTTTCCCATCAATGACAACAATCCATCCAGGCCCTGAGGCAGCAAAGCAGCCCCAAACCATGATGCTCCCTCCGCCATGTTTCACAGTGGGGATGAGGTTTTGATGTTGGTGTGCTGGGCCTTTTTTTCTCCACACATAGTGTTGTGTGTTCTTCCCAAACAACTCAATCTTGGTTTCATCTGTCCACAGTATATTTTGCCAGTAGTGCTGTGGAACATCCAGGTGCTCTTTTGCAAACTTCAAATGTGCTGCAATCTTCTTTTTGGACAGCAATGGCTTCCTCCGTGGTGTCCTTCCATGTACTCCATTCTTCTTTAATGTTTTCCTTAATGTAGATGTGTCAACAAAAATGTTAGCATGTGCCAGAGATTTCTGTAGGTCTTTAGCTGACACTCTGGGATTCTTCTTTACCTCATGCAGCATTCTGTGCTGTGCTCTTGCAGTCATTTTTACAGGATGACCCCGCCTAGGGAGAGTAGCAACAGTGCTAAACTTTCTCCATTTGTAGACAGTCTGTCTTACCGTGGACACATGAACATCAAGGCTCAAGGAGATACTTTTGTAACCCTTTCCAGCTTCATGCAAGTCAACAATTCTTGATGGTAGGTCTTCTGAGAGCTCTTTTCTGCGAGGCATGGTTCACATCAGACAGTGCTTCTTGAAAAACCAGTAAACCCAAAACAGGTGTGTGTTTTTTAAGGGCAGGACAGCTGTCAGCAACACATCCAATATCATCACACTGATTGGAGTCAAGGTTGGCTCACTCCTGGCTCCAATTATCTCTGGGAGAAGTCATTAAGCTAGGGCCTCACATACTTTTTCCTCCCTGCACTGTGAATGTTTACATGTTATGTGCAATTAAACCATGGCAACATCTAATGTTTGTGTAGTATTATGTTCAGCAGACTGTGTTCTTCTATTGTTGTGACTTAGATGACGTTCAGAGCACATTTTATGCCCAATTCATGCAAAACTCCACGTAATCCCAAGGGGTTCACATACTTTTTCTTGCAACTGTATACTTTGCAGCTTGCTATAGGGGCACTCTATACTATAATATGCAGCTTGCTATAGGGGCACTCTATACTATACTTTCAGCTTGCTATAGATGCACTCTCCACTATATTTTCAGCTTGCTATAGGGGCACTCTATGCTATACTTTCAGCTTGCTATAGGGGCACTCTATACTATACTTTGCAGCTTGCTATAGGGGCACTCTATACTATACTTTGCAGCTTGCTATAGGGGCACTCTATACTATAATAGGCAGCTTGCTATAGGGGCACTCTATACTATACTTTCAGCTTGCTATAGGGGCACTCTATACTATACTTTCAGCTTGCTATAGGGGCACTCTATGCTATACTTTCAGTTTGCTATATGGGCACTCTATGCTATACTTTGCAGCTTGCTATAGGGGCACTCTGAAAGCTGAAGTGCCTTTGGGGGACCCCAGAAGAGGAGATTTAGGGCTGCAAAACCACTACACAGAGCAGGTAAGTATGACAAGTTTGTTGTTTAAAAAATAAATTATTGCCAGCTGGGACCAGCTGATTGGTGAATTAACCTACCAACATGTTTTTGGAGTGTGGGAGGAAACCAGTGGAAACCCACGCAGGCACAGGGAGAACATGCAAACTCCAGGCAGGTAGTGCCAATGTTGGGATTTTAACCAACAACCCTAGTGCTGCTAAGCAGAAATGCTAACCAAGGATAAATATATATATAAACCTGCACTAATAAGAACCACAATAGATATTCAATAATCAAAAATGAGGTGTAAAACATAGAGCAGCTGAACACAACAACCCTGATACTAGGCAATCAACAATAAATACATAGAAGTGCAGCACTTAAAAAGTTACAAATAATCATAAGAAAACAGTGAAAAATGTGTCAACAAATAGTCCATCCAAAAATAAAATAAAAGAAAAGTCCCAGAGGCTGTGATGAAACAATAGAAAACCAAGGACAGTTGTCCTGTCACCAACCTCTACTTCAGAAGGCTTACCAGAAAGGCATGACCCCCTGTTAAGCGTGGTCAATCACGCTTTGTTAAACAATCCAGAAAGCTCTACACTGGAATCCTCCTCCAGATCACCAAAACAGCCGATAAGGATCTTCCAAACAATAGACTTTAATTAGGGTAGCTAAACCATTCAGGATAAGGCTTGGAAAACATGCAAAGAAAGAATGCTCCACATGGTATAAAACCATAATCACAACATTTATTTAAAGTGTGATTGCACTCACATGTAAGCAAACATCAATAGGTATTGATTGGCAAAAAAATCCAAATTTTCCAATTTCCAAAATGGCCGCTGACCATTGGCACATGTGCAGTACTGTGTGTGCGTGGCTCCACCCTACGCGTTTCGTCACAGGTAACATCACCAGGTGCCCCAGATTGACCACTCTTAACAGGGGGTCATGCCTTTCTGGTAAGCCTTCTGTAGAAGTGCTAACCACTTTGCCACTGTGCTGCCCATGTTAAAAAAAATATGGGGCAGGAAGTCATGACAAATCTCCCAAATGGGACACAGATTGCAAAAATAAAACTGGCATGGGTTATAACCCTTCCTTAATCCAAAATGAAACAAAAAACATTTTGCTTATAGTTCTACTTTAATTTTTAACCAAAACTTGGGGGAATTGAGAGCTTTCAGTTTTTTAAAGCCGTTGTTCAGCTGGTAGGAAAGTGCTCTAATGCAGAAACAAACATGCTTTTTCAAATTAAATGAACATATTAAATAAGATGGTAGTCAGTTGGATCTACATCTCCTTCTTTTGCCACCATTTTCAGGTCTACATTGTTGGGCAAAGTTCTACGCATCGATGTCAATCACAATAACCACGGCCCACTTTACCGGATCCCACCTGACAACCCGTTTGTCAACGACCCATCTGCCAGACCTGAAATCTTTGCTTACGGGGTGAGGAACATGTGGCGCTGCTCTTTTGACAGGGGAGACCCTCAGACAAAGGAGGGGAAAGGACGCCTCTTCTGTGGAGACGTGGGACAGAATAAATTTGAAGAAGTCGACATTGTGGAGAAAGGAAGGAATTATGGCTGGAGGGCCAGGGAAGGATTCAGCTGCTATGATAAAAAGCTTTGTACCAATGCGTCACTAGGTAATGACTCCTTACCATCATGTGGTACTGCTGTAGAACATATAACGTTCACTTAAAACTGATATTCCAGGTATAGGTAGATGCTAGTGGTTGAAGTCAACCATAAACCTCCTTTATTTGTCTGAGACTCCAATGACACTTGAGTTCCCAACTCCATCCCTGGCCTCTTTATTAGGTGCACCTGTTCAATTGCTTGGCAACACAAATTGCTAATCAGCCAGTCACATGGCAGCAACTCAATGCATTTCGGCATCTGGACATGGCAAAGACAAGTTGCTGAAGTTCAAACTGATCATCAGAATGGGGAAGAAAGAGGGTTTAAGTGACTTTGAATGTGGTATGGATGTTGGTGCCAGATAGGCTGGTCTGAGTATTTAAAAAATTGCTGATCTACTGGGATTTTCATGCACAACCACTCTAGGTAAATTGAGACTCATCAGACTAGGCAATGTTTTTCCAATCTTCTATTGTCCAATTTTGGTGAGCCTGTGCGAATTGTAGCCTCCGTTTCCTCTTCTTAGCTGATAGGAGTGGCACCCGGTGTGGTCTTCTGCTGCTCAACGTGTTGTGTTCAACGTGCTGTGCGTTCAGAGATGGCATTCTGCATACCTTGATTGTAACGAATGTTTATTTGAGTTACTGTTGCCTTTCTGTTATCTCGTCTGCCCATTCTCCTCTGACCTCTGGCATCAACAAGGCATTTTCTTCCACACAGCTGCCGCTCACTGGATATTTTCTCTTTTTCGGACCATTCTCTGTAAACCCTAGAGATGGTTGTGCGTGAAAATCCCAATAGACCAGCAGTTTTTGAAATATTCAGACCAGTCCATCTGTCATCAAAGTCACTGACATCCCCTTTCTTCCCCATTCTGATGCTCTGTTTGAACTTCAGCAAGTCATCTCCCCCATATCTAGATACCTAAATACATTGAGTTGCTGCCATGTGATTGGCTGATTAGCAATTTGTGTTACCAAGCAATTGAAAAGGTGTACCTAATAACGTGGCCAGTGAGTGTACGTATTTCATCTGTTTTTCTGGAATCCAGCTTTAGGCCTCATTCACACGGGTGTACTGATCCTTGTGCTCAAGTGATGGGCCGTCATCAGCCTCCCAGATGTGCAGGCTTTCCGTGTGGGGGGTTGTCAACGGTCTTTTGAAATCAATGACTGGTGACCAACTGCACAACTATTATTTAATTACTCATTAACATTTCCATGCACACCAAGCTATCCAGCAAAAGTGCAGCCAGTCCATCTGTTCATGGATTTGAAATCCCCACTCTTCTCCCTCTTCTCTCTGGATGAACCAGAGCTTTGTTCTGTGATGACGCTGACCAATCAGAATCACTCTGATCTGTCCCGGAAGAGCTGCACAGAGAAGAGGGAGAAGGGCGAGGATTTCAAATCCCCAGATCGCTGAATTGGCTGTTGGCACGGACAGCTTAGCACCCATGGAAGTTAGTACAGCAGGGATGGGTCGATGGGGAGGGTGTAGGGTGTTAGTTTACCTGTTAATTTATGGTGCAGTCTGTCACTAGCAATAACACAGGTTTTTTTCTTTTCCCAAGTCCAGGAAAATTAAAAAAAATACTCCATGACAGTTTCTCCTTTAAAAAATGATAAGTTCTCCCATCACTAAATCATTTATATAATTTCTTCTCTGTAGATGATGTTCTTCCTATTTTCGCCTACCCCCATAAGTTGGGGAAGTCGGTCACTGGGGGATATGTGTACAGAGGCTGCGAATATCCAAATTTAAATGGTCTTTATATATTTGGAGATTTTATGAGTGGGTAAGTCAAATGTGTTCAGTTTTTTAAGTACGCTTACAAAATGATCTATACCTGTCTCAGTGGACTTGCTCCCTTGCCCCTGCAAGGCTCCCCACTTCAGTCGTAGGTGCCAATACAACTTTGGGCTCACCTTCTTGACAAAACTTTAATCACACAGGGCCAAGATGCTCCAACGTACCTGTCAAGGATCCGGGTATGACCAGAGATGTGTGGACTGACGCAGGGAAACAGCAAGCTTCTGGAACACAGGCGTAGTCAGGATGGAGAGGTGGAATGGTCAGGCAGGCCGTAAGGTACTGTCAGGCACCGCCCGGCAGGATCTCTAGTGACCCACAGAACAGGATTCTCCAGGGCGCGGAGTCTAAGCCCCAGTCTGCCTGTCTGCCTTTTCACCAGAGCCCCTGATGGTGGGGATGGACTTGGCGCAGGACTGAGACCAGGTCGCGGCCCCTGAGTGCACCCAACTGTGGTAGAGGGGTCCGCTGAGGGTATGTACCAGTGGAAAACCTGATGTGAAGGGGCTGGCAGGTTCGGACAGTAGTGACTGGATCCGTGCGGGATGGATGGATGACAGTATGGAGTGTAGCGTAGTCAGACAAGTCGGGTCGGTAACGGTGGAGGCAGATCAGTACAAAGCAGCAGGCGAAGAGTAAATGGGTCACGAGCCAAGGTACAGCAACAGGGGGTCAAACAGCATAGGAGTAGGCAGAAGAATAGTCAGGGACGAGCCAGGAGTCAGAGCAGGAGAAGTCAGCAGAGGTCAGGATCAGGCAGGGTCGGCAACAAATCAGATAGGCAGAGGAACAGGAACACAGGATACAAGGCACAGGGGCTCATGGGAAACAACACCAAGGCACTGATCACAGTGCCTGGTCCTGCTTAAATACACCTCCTGCAATCAGCCTCAGGTGATGGCCTGATTGCAGGAGTGAGATTCTGGCTGCTGAGAGCACCCGCTGGCCAGCCTTGGTACTGCAGCCCACAAGGCAGGTGAGTCCCACCACCATTGGCGAGTCCATTCCTGACAGTACCCTTGCCCACTGATGCATTTCGCTTCCTACTATAGTGTAAGCGCAAAGTCAATATGGGGCGAAACATGTCAGTGATGAAGAGCAGTTTGGAGTGCCTGATGCCAAAAAACATTTCTGTTTTGCTAGCTTTTTTGGCTCAAAATGACAACAGTCCCCGATGTAAGGGTGCTGCTTAGCACCCCTTCACACTTTAGCACTCCAGTGCTGTGCACTTTGTTGTGTAGCATTTCATGTATTAGCGTGCACTGCACATAAATGTGTTCCAAATGCACCACAACAGACAAGAAAAAGGGCCTGCACCATTTTTGTAACGCAGTGCACCACAATGTACAGCATATGTACTGCAGCGTGGGTGTGTTACCAACTGCTATAATTATACATTCTGATATAATGGAACCCAAAGCAACAGTTTCATGCAAGTGGAACACTAAAAAAAATGTTTTTGCTGTGTGCTGGGTCCATTTTAGTTACCTCCTATTCTTGGAATGCTATGTCCAGGGGACTGCTGGATTGCTAAAAATGTACATACCAGTGGTGACTTTGATCTCCAGGCTTAGTTGTTATGAGTTCCATTGTTCATACAGTGATGATAGTGGGTTGCTTACTCTTCAACTCCTCCATTTGTTTCACGAAGTGCAAGGCGTTCTCTGAATGGACAAAGGGAGGGGCAGATGAATGTTAGGATCTCCACCTCCCCCCATTCAAAGAAAGCCTTTTTTGTTTGTTTTGTTTTTGGTTTTAGATACATTTAAAGCTAGACCCAAAACACAGCAAAGACATTTTTTTTTCCTAAGAGTTCCACTTTAAAGTGAGCTGCAGTGTCGGTGGTGCAAAATAAAAAGACTATGAAATCATATTTTTACAATAGAGTGGTCTCCAAACTGTGGCAAGCAGGCCATATGTGGCCCTTTGCTTGCCTTTATCCTGCCCTTGAGGTACTATTCCTCTCGCTGACCCCAACAACGATGAACCATTCCTCCCACTAACATCGCTTCTCGGCCTTTTGGCTAAGATCAAGTGTAGTATCTGTTCTTATCAGTGTCCAGCAGGGGTGCTCCACGGCCATTCTAGCTTTGCGGGGATGGCTGGTTGTATAGTACCCCTGCTGGAATGATGGGAGTCTGGACGGCTAGTACCGGCTGGAACAGAAAGCGAGGCGCCCACGAGTTGTAGCTGGGGCCCGTGAGTAATTCTCCCGGGAAGACCAAAGGGCCCAGTTCCTCCTGATTCGAACGGATCTACCTTGTCTGGCCAGGGGTCGGGAAGGCAGAAAGTCCGCAAACCAGTGCCCCCTGAGTGGTCACCTCAGGGGTGCCCTTAGTAACACCTGGGTGTGGGACCCCACAGTGTGAAAATGGCACATGGTCACTGTGTTTACCACTTTTCCTGGACAGCGCCCTTAGGACCAGGCCTTCTGGCTAAGTTTGGGGCAATTTTTGCTACAGGCCTCAGGGCTTGGTCTATGCACAATTTGGCACGACCACTTTTTTATTTTCTATTTATTTATTTAATTTATTCACCTCCCACGTTTTGTCACTTTTTCTTACTTATGTGTGTGTTTTCCTCACAGGATGGAGGGTGTGGGTCCTCGGGCCTGCCCTGAAGTCTAGGGGGAGGATGTGTGGCCTTTTGTTTCCTTCCTCCCCTGTCCCTGGGGGGTTTTCTCTTTGTGAGAGCCCCCTGACCAAGTACTGAGTGGCTGGCTTCGGCTGGCCACAAGGAACGGTGGTCCACCAGGCCGTTTGGCCAGGAGGACCAAATGGGAACCTTGTCCCTGTCAGGAGCTTCGTGCCCCGGGGATCAGGGTAGTGGTCCATCCCCTTCGGGGGAAGGACAAAGCACACCCCTAAGTGCACTTTTTCGTGTGGTGTTTTACACTTGCACTTTTTTTGTGATTCACTTACGGGTTTTTTCGTTATCTGCACGTTTGCGGACTTAAGAAAAAAAAAAAAATTCCTCCCACTCACAACAACGATGGGGCATACCTCTTCTCACTGATATAAACGTTGGAACACTATTCCTCCCACTTCAACCAATAACGGGGCAGTGTTCCTCCTACTGATGCCAACAACGAGGCACTGTTCCTTGCATTGACACCAATGATGGGACTCTCTTCCTCCAACTGACATTAACAATGGGACAGCATTCCTCCCACTGACACCAATGATGGGGAACTATTCCTCTCACTGAGCCCAATGATGGGGCATCATTCCTCTCACTGACACCAATGATGGGGCACTATTCCTCTCACTGCGCCCAATGATGGAGCATCATTCCTCTCACTGACACCAATAATGGGGCACTATTCCTCCAACTGAAACCAATGATGGGGCACCATTCCTGTCACTGACACCAATAATGCAGCACTGGTCCTCCCACTGATACCAATGATGGGGCACCATCCCTCTCATTGATGGTACTAATGATGGGGCATTATTCCCCTTGCTGATACCAATGATGGGGCACTATTTCTCACATTGACAGCAATGATGAGATACTATTCCTCCCACTGACACTAATGATGGAGCACTATTCCTCTCGCTGACAATGATGATGGGGCACTATTCCGCCCACTGACACCGATGATGGGACACCATTCCTCCCACTGACACCAATGATGGCTACTTCTGCAACTGACATCAATCATGGGGCATTACTCCTCCCATTGAAACCAATGATTGGGCACTATTCCTCCTCCTACTGACCACAGGTGTTATGTAATTTTTTTTACTCATACTGACTTTGGACCATTTTACACTCCCACTGACCACAGTCTGGCCCTCTAAACGCCAAAGAACAGAAAAACGGCCCTTTGTTTAGTACGTTTGGAGACCCCTTCTTTAGCAAAACACATATCTGTGTAGCTAGCCTTTGTGTAGCCCAAGCATTACGGGCTCAGTCTGCCTATTCACACTGTTTTGAGACATCTGCCAGCCACTGACACCAATCATTCTCTTTTGGTTCCTTGTGAGTGTAATTCGAATATTTTATTTAATGTATACAGAACTCTATTAATTCATGTTCTCTTTATATCTGCCCGGAGTTCAGCTTTAATGAACATCTATGAAAACAACATAACAATTTCTTCATGTAAATTGATATTTTAATGAGTTCAGCATTCTGCTCATTATGGAAGGAACATTCTGTATTGTTCAGACAATCGGAGATGATCTGTTATAGAACATGAACCCTTCTTAATGTGTTTTTTATTTTTTTGGACAGACGTCTGATGGCTCTGAAAGAGGAGCAGAATACGGGACAATGGCAGTACCATGAGATCTGCATGGGCATGGGTCAGACCTGCATGTTTCCCAAACTCATTAATAATTATTACCAGTATATTATCTCTTTTGGAGAGGATGAAGCAGGTAATTGCAGCAAACTGTAGTGCTTTTTCTATCAGATATGGTAATAGTTAAAAGAACTGCTTTATTTTGAAGGCACACAGAACTCAGTCTGTATTACTGTAAGCATATTCCACACTATTTCAAATATTTTTTTGAATTTGAAAGTGACAGCACGGTTTAATCATTGAAATAATAAGAGTCTGAATTTGGCGCAATAGAGTGACATTTGAGCACTATTTATATGTATTACTGTAAGGCTCTAGAGCCCAACCTGGGGTCCGATAACTGCATGTGGCACTTTGAACCCAGTAGTCAGTAGTGGGACCACTGGTTTCTAAAGGGGCAGTGTTGTCTAACCATCTTTTGTATTATCTCCCCAGTTTCTGACTGTCTCCTGCAGTCTCCAGTATTCCACCACAATTGTGGAACTCCCACAGTCTCTAACTAACTCCTGAAGGATCCATGTGACCAAATAAAAGAGCACCAAGTGTTCATCTTAGGACTCCACAATTCTTTATTGTCATAAGAAGACAAACTGTGGTCAACGTGTTTTGAGGGGCCAAAAAAATCCAGCTTCAACAAGGCTAAAAAACAAATACAAAATACAGCCCTGATGAAGGGGGATTCTTTTGCCTCCTGTAACACGTTGGCTAGTTTGTCTTCACGTGACTTATGTATCATTAACAATAATGAATTTTAGGCTCTTGCTACAGCTAAAAAAATGCAAACAGGTATTTTTTTTTTTTGCAGAAGATCCTTGTTGTATCTGTTTGCAATGAAACAAACATACCTGACTGTTTGCAATCTTCTATTGAATGTACGTTGTGCTTAAAATACATTTTGAACAATCACTTGCTTGATAAAAGGGTCCTATGTGACCCCAAAACATCGCTATCTTCTGCTGTGATGTGATCATTTAATAAAGCATTGCCCCCCCCCATGAATATCACTCGCCTAGGTGAATCTCATGCCTGCCGTGCCTCCTGGGATATGTACGTCTCGTCTTTGAGAAGGCATAGTCCTTCATTGACAAAGGAGGTTGGCAGGCCTTGTGGCACGTCATGAGAGCCATTGGCTGTACCTGGAGGAGCTGGCAGAAGATACCGGTGCAGAACAGAGCGAGGGGGGGGGGGGGGGGGCAGAGGAAAAGTGTATTTTAGCAGAACAAGGCTGGATCCACTGGGTGGGTGATTACCTTAACTGTGCAGAACACATGAAAATGGGAGGGGAGAGGGTGAATATCTGCATTAGGTACAGAATCAGTTGTTTTTTTCTTTTGGGTCCATTCAAATTCTTATCCTATTCTATTAAGCTTGGATGAAGAGGGAGCTTTGTTGCTCCCAAAACATTACCAAGAATTTAAAGCAGATTTCCACCCAACTGCCTCCCTCCCCCCGTTTTTTTTTTTTCATTTTACCCCCACTTTCTGTGGGATGGGATCTGCACATTTCAGCTGGCAGCCCTCAGGATGATGAAGCACAGTGGTCACAGTACACATCATTCCCCTAGATGAATGACATGTATAGGAGGTGGATCCAAACCCCTTTTCAAAGAAAAAAAAGGATTAAAAAAGCCGCTATACAGGTCATGGAGCAGAGGGGGGGTTGCAGGAGGCACTTTCGATTTTAGGCTGAAGATCTGCAGTAAGGTGCTTTGGACTCTGTCATTTTGTGATGGGGCCCATTTTTTTAAGTTGAGGGGCCACAAAAAAATGCAGATTAACTGCCTGTTTTTACCCTCTTTCTCACACCAGTGTAAACTAATCCGTAATGCTTATTTGCCTTCAAAAAATGTTACTACAGAATGACAGGTGCTCTCCATGGGTTAGGAAAAAAAAAATGTATCAGTGATGATTATATATTTATTTTTATTTATTTATTTCAGGTACTTATATAGCGCCGTCAATTTACGGAGCACTTTACACACACACATATATATATATATATATATATATATTGTACATTCACATCAGTCTATTATCAGATTATTCCATTTATTGACTATCACAGACACCATCTCATGCCGCATTAAAATTTCACAGTTCCACTTATTATTAACAAAAGAAGAATAACACATTACCATGATCCTTATTACATTTCCCAGCACAGATGATAGTACATGATATTCAAAATTGATGGCAGCCCCCGATGTTTCAGGTTTGGGAGATAAGAATTTCATTTTGCACACCTGAGGTATAAACACATTGGGTTTTTTGATCCTGTGATTATTTTCTAGCTGCGGATATTGCGGTAGTAGCTGAGAGCATGTCCGCGGCCCGTCCACCACTACTGATGGGATTATGAAGATCAGGATATTGAGTGACAGATCATTCCATTGAGAATGAATGTGTGTTCCACTCCATCCAGCTTCCTCTTTCCACAAAAAAAAAAAAAAAGTCAAATGCTTATTAAAAGTCACCACTCGACATGTGCAGTGAAATGGCTGCATCTGGGAATTTGATATGTACATTATGCATTTAAAATAGTAACAAAACATTTTGCAGCTGCAGTGATGACAGAGTGAATACACGTCATATTTCGATTGCTCCAGCAATTCCCTCTTTTAAAATTCTAATGCAGCATGGTGTGCTGGATTCTATGACTGATATTTAAATCTGAACTCCAACCTTCCCTTCAGTCTTGCACAGTCGTACTGATTTCACTGCACACTGTGAGCTTCTCATAGAGTGCATTAGAAGCTGCAGTAAGTCAGATAGAGCCCGCCTCATTTCCTGGCTGGATGACATCCAGTATCACCCCCCAGCCTCATTTTCCATGAAAATAAATGATGAAGTTTTGTGCATAGGAGCAGGACACTGTGCAGCTATGCCAACTCGGCATCTCCGAGGCTGCACAATACCCCCCTGGTCCTATGGGGGGCACAACTGAACTCTGGGGGGGGGGGGGGCATAGCTCAACTCAGCACTCCTTAGATCTGGCCCTGATTTCCAACTCACCTCAACTCATCAGTCCTTAGATCTGGCCCTGACTTCCAGCATCACCTAGCACTTTCTTCCCCAGCCTGTCACTGGCCTGTCCCTTTCCTTCATCGATTTTCAAGCTCATCCCTTTTTAGCATGCTGATGAATAGGGGGAAACCAGAGAAGGCAAAATATTACCATACTAAACTTCAGCTTTAACATATATATAAACTCATGCACTGAAATCTCATATAAGATTTAAAGAAGCCTTGTCTCCAGCTTCCAAAATTGCTGGCAAAAGTTTGAAGAAATAAAAATGTTTAATTGCTTATTTGCTGCTTTATTCCCTTCATAAACAATGCTCTATTTACTTGCAATATGCCTTTGACCTTGCTAGGTAATTTGACTTCTTCAGGAAAGTCTTTTAGATGTCTACAGAAGGAGTAATTTGCATGAATTGCACATATAATGTTATGGAGAGATTGCTGTTGAAATGAATGGTCTAGAGCAGCTGTTCTCAACCTTGTTACCCCAGAGGAACCCTTAAAATAACTTTCAGGTTTTGAGGAACCCCCGCCGAAACCAACTCATTGGTGGTCTGAGGAACAAAATGTCCCTTTACATTGGTGGCCAGTGGAAAGAATATTCTCCTTACAGTGGTGGTCAGACAGCTAAAAAGATCATTGGGTTCATGCCGCTGGCTCTATCAGGTGGCATTGACCCTGGAACTATGCAGGTAGTATTAAATGAGAGGTCAGTCAGCCACAAATCAAGAAACCCCTAGCAACTGGAGGAACCCTATGGTTCCATGAAACTGGTCAAGAATGGCTGGTCTGGATACAAGGCCTCCTTAAAGTGACATTGTCAAGGCTCAAGCAAATTTTAAAATATTAAAAATGACATCAAAATGATAAAGCTTATGCAAGATTTTAGTAATGGTGGGACTTTGAAATTTTGGTATCTGTTGGAGAGTGAACCCACTCTTGATTCTGTCAAGGACTCTATTGTGATGTGATCACTGTGCTGAGTTCCCTTGTTGGCACACCTGCTTTGTCTAAGTGGTCCTTCTTCAGCTGGATTTTCATTTATTATGGAGCATGTAATAGGAGGAGTTGGAACACACAAAGGTGGGCAGGGACACCCAAAACTCCCAGGAAGACAGATGCATGCTCATATAAAAAGAGCAAAATCCAACACTCAAGGGTCTGATATACATATAACAGATATCAGTTAATACAAAATTATATGTAGATATACTGATTTTTTGTTTTTATTCAAAGGGGAGCTCTACTTCATGTCCACTGGTATACCAAGTGCTACATCTCCCACGGGTGTCTTGTACAAGATTGTTGACAGTTCAAGGTAAAAATAACTTGTATATTATGCTGGTTATATTTCTGTGTATCTAAGACCCCCTGTACTTGTACTGTATTTAAAATGGAACTATAGGGATCTACATATGCGTACTCACCTTTTTCTTCCATGTGCCAGTTTTTGTGTGCCTTCATTGGTCAGTACAGGATGATGTCAGTCCTGCGTATGCACAGGAGCAAGTCATCTGAGCACACAGGGATCAGCCTGGCGTTGTAAGCTAAGCTGTGCATGTGCAGCTCAGTTTACACCACCTGAGAACATGGTGAGCAGGCAGGTAGGTGTATTTTATTACAGTGAAAATCCTGCCTGTTCTCTGTTATAGTGGAACTTAAGTTCCATTTTAAAATAAATGTATTTGTTTATTATTTATTTCAGGTACTTATATAATGCTGTCAATTTACACAGCTCTTTACATGTATATTGTACATTCACATCAATCCCTAACCCTCAAGGAGCGTACAATCTAAGGTCCCTAACTCACATTCATACATACACATACTAGGGACAATTTACACAAGACCCAATTAACCTACCAGCATGTCTTTTGAGTGTGGGAGGAAACCAGAATACTTGGAGGAAACCCATGCAGGCCACAGGGAGAACATGCAAACCAGGAAGGTAGTACCGTGGTTGAGATGACATTAGATTCGGTTTGCAAAGCCAACAAGACATGCAAGGATGAAGATCCTTTTATTAAAAAAATGACAGTTATTTTCAGCTGAGCCCTTTGAGATTTCAAAATTACACTAACATAAAATAAAGATCATTATCCTTGTATTAACTGCAAGGTATAACTGCAATCACATGGCCATTTCTGATCCTGTTCGGAGTGGGTCTGTAGGATATTCAGCACCTCAATGTCAACCTTTTTTTAAAAGGAGCAATGTTTTTCAGCATTCCTTATTCTAACCAAGTCCTAATTTACATAGCAGGCATGCATTTTGGAGGAGATTGCTGGTGATAGAGGTGGACAGAATTAAAAGGGCTGCTCTACTTGCTGGCAGACAAGCTATAGGTGTTATTGTTCTTGCAGACACAGCAGACGTGCGAGTGACAATGCCACCATGATTTCTGAATCACAAGGTGAACTTTGTCACTGTAATAATGGAAGCGACAGAGAGGATACAGGTCTGGAATTATTACCGGGTTATTCAAAGGTATTGATGTGCTAAACCATGGGAAGCTTTTACATGATAGCAGGCTGCTGGCCCAATAAATTGCACTCATGGAATTCCCCAACTCCACAGCCCAACATAACAAAATGATGGGAATGTTGGTGACACCATTGACCTAATATGACCACCTGGACATATTTGGTCAATAACATTGTCCATATATTGTCCATATATGGCCATGTGAACAGATGATGTCACCAGTATCCCCTCCCCTTTGTTACATGCACCTGCAGGGTGGGGAATTTTCTGGCCCCTGCTGATTGGGCTGGCTGTCCGCTATCATGTGACAGCTTCCCATGTGTTAGCTCATCAACTCATCTGATCACCCCACCCAGCTGACGCAGTTCCAAAAGCTAAGCCGGGGTTCATCCCACTTCCCAAACTGCCTATAACTGTAAAAGAAAGCCAGTGGCACTCTGTAAAAATCCAATGCATGTACAGGTGAAACCCGCAAATTTGAATATCGTGCAAAATTTCAGTAATGCAACTTAATAGGTGAAACTAATATATGAGATAGACTCATTACATGCAAACCAAGATAGTTCAAGCCATGATTTGTCATAATTGTGATGATTATTATGGCTTACGGCTCATGAAAACCCCAAATTCACAATCTCAGAAAATTAGAATATTGTGAAAAGGTGCAATATTCTCGGCTCAAAATGTCCCACTCTAATCAGCTAATTAAGCCATAACACCTGCAAAGGGTTCCTGAGCCTTTAAATGGTCTCTCAGTCTGGTTCAGTAGGAATCACAATCATGGGAAAGACTGCTGACCTGACAGTTGTGCAGAAAACCATCATTGACACCCTCCATAAGGAGGGAAAGCCTCAAAAGGTATTTGCAAAAGAAGTTGAATGTTCCCAAACTGCTGTGTCAAAGCACATTATTAGAAAGTCATGTGGAAGGGAAAAGTGTGGAAGAAAAAGGTGCACAAGCAGCAGGGATGACCGCAGCCTGGAGAGGATTGTCAGGAAAAGGCCATTCAAAAGTGTTGGGGACTTTCACAAGGAGTGGACTGAGGCTGGAGTCAGTGCATCAAGAGCCACCACACACAGAGAGATCCTGGACATGGGCTTCAAATGTTGTTTTCCTCTTGTCAAGCTGCTCCTGAACAAACAACATCAGAAGCGTCTTACCTGGGCTAAAGAAAAACAGACCTGGTCTGTTGCTCAGTGGTTCAAAGTCCTCTTTTCTGATGAGAACAACTTTTGCATCTCATTTGGAAACCAAGGACCCAGAGTATGGAGGAAGAATGGAGAGGTCCAAGGACCCCGAGTATGGAGGAAGAATGGAGAGGCACACACTGCAAGATGCTTGAAGTCCAGTGTGAAGTTTCCACAGTCTGTGTTGATTTGGGGAGCCATGTCATCTGCTGGTGTTGGTCCACTGTGCTTCATTAAGTCCAGGGTCAACGCAGCCGTCTACCAGGAGATTTTGGAGCACTTCATGCTTCCTTCCGCAGACAAGCTTTATGGAGATGCTGACTTCATTTTCCAGCAGGACTTGGCACCTCCCACACTGCCAAAAGCTCCAAAACCTGGTTCAATGACCGTGGGATTACTGTGCTTGACTGGCCAGCAAACTCGCTTGACCTGAACCCCATAGAGAATCTATGGGGCATTGCCAAGAGAAAGATGAGAGACATGAGACTGAACAATGCAGAAGAGCCGAAGGCCGCTATTGAAGCATCCTGGTCTTCCATAACACCTCAGCAGTGCCACAGGCTGATAGCTTCCATGCCACGCCGCATTGAGGCAGTAATTGCTGCAAAAGGGGCCCAAACCAAGTACTGAGTACATATGCATGCTTCTACTTTTCAGAGGTCCGATATTGTTCTATGTACAATCATTGTTTTATTGATTGTAATATTCTAATTTTCTGAGATTGTGGATTTCGGGTTTTCATGAGCTGTAAGCCATAATCATCACAATTATGACAAATCACGGCTTGAACTATCTTGCTTTGCATGTAATGAGTCTATCTCATATATTAGTTTCACCTTTTAAGTTGCATTACTGAAATAAATGAACTTTTGCACCATATTCTAATGTTTTCGAGTTTCAGCTGTATACCTTTATTGTTCTGGACAAACACAAAGCCCCATTTGGGATCTCCTTGCTTGATGCGTTTCACCCAAAATGGGTCTAAAGACTCTACAATTAAACCCAATTTTGGGTGAAACACCCCATCTGGCATCTCTTTCTTTAAGTTTCGCTCAAAATGGGTCTAGAGAATCTAAAATTAAACTCCGTTTTGGGTGAAATGCATCATTGAGGCCGTGGTGGGTTCATTTCTGCCTATCCAGAACAATAAATAGACGCTTGCATCAGATTTTAACAGAGTGTCGCTGGCTTTCTTTCTTTTAGCAATGAAAACCTCATCATCCTCTGCCCTATCCAAAACGAAAAAAAAAAACGTTGGCGTTAGAATAGTTTTTAACAGTTGCCGCACATTATTTGTAAGCTGCAATGTCCAAATGCAGCCAGCTTGTCACAGTGTGCATGTGCTAATGTTCACTCTGAGGATGTGCAGATCATATTCTGGCTCTGGAATCTCCAGCAGATGTGTTGGGTCACACTCAACTTCACAAATCCCTTTTTTGCTATTACACTCAGGGAGGCCATTGCTTAGATTGGGCATGGAAATTGCGTATAACGTGTTCATGTTCTGTAATTATGAACAGGCATTACATAAATGGATCTCGTATTCAGTCACTCAGAACACTGCTCTTCACAATCGGCATCCCAAATGCTCTTTTTTTTACCATTCCAGACTTTAATGACTGTGCTTGTCTCCACAGGAGGGCCCCGCCTGGTAAATGCCGATATCACCCCTTACCGGTCAAGACGAAAAGCACCACTTTGCCATTTGTGCCAAAAGAAAGTAAGTTAGGATATTCTTATAAGAGTCTTTTTGTCTGAAAAAAATGGACTATGATTAACTAAACATTTACTTTACACGTGTATAAATTCCTGATATTCCTCAATGTACAGCAGCAGTGTATTTTTTTTAAAAAAAGCTGCACCTATTGCCTTAAAAGAGGCATCCTTGATCTCCAGTCAGTGACGTTGCCTAGGCTGAGATCATGCCATCCATCAAAAAGCACTGAATGGAGGACAGGCAGATAAATGAAAGATCCACCTCTTCCATTCCTGAAGCACTTTTATTAATGGCAGCTTAAGTACAACTTCTGTGACTGGAGGAGGGGGCAGGGAAGGGCGGGCCTAGTCGGGGCTTGGGAAGGGCGGGCCTAGTCGGGGCTTGGGAAGGGCGGGCCTAGTCGGGGCTTGGGGAAGGGCGGGCCTAGTCGGGGCTTGGGAAGGGCCGGCCTAGTCGGGGCTTGGGAAGGGCCGGCCTAGTCGGGGCTTGGGAAGGGCCGGCCTAGTCGGGGCTTGGGAAGGGCCGGCCTAGTCGGGGCTTGGGAAGGGCCGGCCTAGTCGGGGCTTGGGAAGGGCCGGCCTAGTCGGGGCTTGGGAAGGGCCGGCCTAGTCGGGGCTTGGGAAGGGCCGGCCTAGTCGGGGCTTGGGAAGGGCCGGCCTAGTCGGGGCTTGGGGAAGGGCCGGCCTAGTCGGGGCTTGGGAAGGGCGGGCCTAGTCGGGGCTTGGGAAGGGCCGGCCTAGTCGGGGCTTGGGAAGGGCCGGCCTAGTCGGGGCTTGGGAAGGGCCGGCCTAGTCGGGGCTTGGGAAGGGCCAGCCTAGTCGGGGCTTGGGAAGGGCCAGCCTAGTCGGGGCTTGGGAAGGGCCAGCCTAGTCGGGGCTTGGGAAGGGCCAGCATAGTCGGGGCTTGGGAAGGGCCAGCATAGTCGGGGCTTGGGAAGGGCCAGCATAGTCGGGGCTTGGGGGGCTTGGGAAGGGCAAGCATAGTCGGGGCTTGGGAAGGGCCAGCATAGTCGGGGCTTGGGAAGGGCCAGCATAGTCGGGGCTTGGGAAGGGCCAGCATAGTCGGGGCTTGGGAAGGGCCAGCATAGTCGGGGCTTGGGGAAGGGCCAGCATAGTCGGGGCTTGGGAAGGGCCAGCATAGTCGGGGCTTGGGAAGGGCCAGCATAGTCGGGGCTTGGGAAGGGCCAGCATAGTCGGGGCTTGGGAAGGGCCAGCATAGTCGGGGCTTGGGAAGGGCCAGCATAGTCGGGGCTTGGGAAGGGCCAGCATAGTCGGGGCTTGGGAAGGGCCAGCATAGAGGCAGATGGTCATTAACCCCCACTGCTGGGGGTATATGTAGGGGGGCAGAGAACTGAAGATTTCAGCTAAGGGTGTTATAGCACACAGTACTGATGTATGAGCATCAGATTCTGGAAAAAAGATCCTGCATAAAATTGCAAGGATTGGTTGTATGGCAAATGGGCAAATTTGCTAGTTTTCACGTGTACACGCGTGTAAAAAAGATCCTCTAACTTTCCCTGGGGTATGGTGTATGTGCGTGCTCAAGTATTTTCTTGTACATGCATAATACTGACCGGCAACTCTCATTTTAATTTTTTTTTTTTTGACTGCTCTATTCTAGGGTTGCCACCTCATCCCTTTAAACCCGAACACATATTAATTACACAGGCTAATTTAATACATATAATGCACTAAGTGAGTTTAATTACCACCTTAATCAGCCACAGAATTTCTGTAAATAATATGTGTTCGGTTTTAAAGGGATGAGGTGGCAACTCTAATCTATACGCAGGACAAGTTTACTCATCTGTATGTACAGGCCCATTAAAAACAATGCACTGCATTTAGATCAGTAAAAAAAAACTGAATGCCTAAAAATGTGGCATTATTAGGCGTCTGTGTAAGAGGGCTAGGACAGCAGCCTAGGGTTGCCACCTCATCCCTTTAAAACTGAACACATATTAATCACACAGGTTCTGTGGCTCATTAAGGTGGTCATTAAACTCACTTGGTGCTTTATCCGCATTCAATTTGCTGCAGAAACTGTGTAATTAATATGTGTTTGGTTTTAAAGGGATGAGGTGGCAACTCTACGGAGCAGCCACCAGCACAAGCGACATTTCTCATTGAATGCAAGTACGGTTGCTTGGGCTGATTAAAAAACAAAACAAACTAAATTTAGATTCAACCGCATCAGCATTTGTCCTTTCTAGGATGTTTTGTTAAATCCTAGAAATGTATGAAATATTTATCCTTTCTGTTCCCTTTTATTCGATGTTATGTGAGGCCACTGGTATTTGGCAGTACAGTGGACATTTGCAGGGGGGACGGTCGCTGATCCTGCGACCACAGGCATATCTAGGTCAGCGCCGCTCAGAAAATAGTTCTCGAGATGTGTTTGTTGTCTTGGCAACAAAGATCTCCTGTTCGTTGAATTGTCTTTATACAAGTAATCTGCATGTACGACAACCCAGCACTGTGCAGCCAGAGAGAGGAACGTCCAACATTCAGCAATGTTACAAATCTTCTAGGTTTCAGAAATTCCTAGGTACAAAATTAAGGTTCATTCACATTTTTCTACACAAACGCAGGTTCTTGCTGGCAGAGGATCCTGCGTAAAATGTATGCTTAACCCCTCGCCTACAGGGCACTTATACCCCCTTCCTGCCCAGGCCAATTTCCAGCTTTCAGCGCTGTCACACTTTGAATGACAATTGCGTGGTCATGCAACACTGTACCCATATGAAATCTGTATCATTTTTTTGAGACAGCTTTCTTTTGGTGGTATTTAATCACCTCTGGGTTTTTTATTTTTTCTTAAACAAACCAAAAACCACTGAAAATTTTGAAAAAAAAAAAGGTTTTCTTAGTTTTGTTATAACATTTTGTAAATAAGTGATTTTTCTCCTTCACTGATGTGCGCTAATGAGGCTGCACTGATGGACACTGATAGGTGGCACTGATGGGCACTGATGAGGAGGCACTGATGGGCATTAACAGGCATCACTGATGGGCACTGAAAGGCAGCACTCATATGGCACTGATAGGCGGCACTGATAGGTGGCACTGACTGGCACTGATAAGCGGCACTGACTGGCACTGTTAGGCGGCACTGATAGGCGGCACTGACTGGCATTGATAGGTGCTACTGACTGGCACTGATAGGTGACACTGAAAGGCAGCTCAGATGGACACTGATATGTGGCATTGATGTGCACTGGTAGGCACTGATATGTGGCATTGATGTGGCACTGATGGACACTGACAGGTGGCACTGCTGGGGCTACACTGATCATCAGGGCACACTGATCATCAGTGCCCTGATGATCAGTGTACATGTCCCCTCTGAGGAACGCCGATTACCGACTCTCCTCTCCTCTGTCAGTGTGACAGCTCGTGAGGAGAGAAATGCCAATAACCGGCATTTCCCTATTTACGTGCGATCAGCTGTGATTGGACACAGCTGATCACATGACCGAACCGACATCTTCAGCTCTTTCTGTTGATCGATGATCAGCTGTGTCAGAGGGACACAGCGCACCACCAATCGCCGCGCTGCTCGCTCCCGGAGCCGCGCATGCGCGGCTAGAATGGGAGGACTCCAGCTCATTGATTACTATGGTGCTGTATTTAGATGCATACAAAACAATACACTGTGCGCATCTAAATGCAAATTTATTTCAGCCTGTGTGAATGAGCCCTTAAAGCTGAACTCCAGGTAAGTAGTAAAGAGTAAAAATGAATGCTGGCACCTAATCATCCAGTGTAATTATGTGGATTTGCATTGTTTTCAGCCTCCATACATCAGCACTCTGAGTGGGAAAGGGTGGGGCAGCAATTTGAGTCAGTCAGACTCTATCACCTATGCCCGATACATGCGATAAGAAAATCGTACGAAAAATTTTGTGGAACCGCTGATCGAACGATTTTCTCTTCGTTGATTAGCAGGATGTTTTAACCGATAACGATATTGTGAACGAAAAAATCCAGTTGAACAACAGTGAAAAATTTTGTCGTTTCGCATATGAACGACCGATTTTCTATGCGGTGGTATGACGGTTGTATGAAAAAAATCTATCAAGCGCTATCACGCATGAGCGGAAACAGAAGATGACCCGGATGTTTATGTCCAAGGAATCTTCATAAACACGAACGAAAAATCCAAATGTTAAAAGTAGATTGGCCTAATGAGATGATGAAACCAGAATTCTGCAGATTATATTTTATATTATATGCAGATTAACGCATTGACTTCTGCTGCCTTCCTCCTGGGTAAATGCATCTTTCTCCTACCTCCACTCTTAACTCAAAAACGCATTGACTCCTGTTAAATTCTGAACAAATGGTGTATTTATATTTGTGTATGTTGACCAGTCCTCACCTTTAGCTGCACCCGTTTTTTTATGACTGTAGTCTGTTTCCTGAGAAACATCCCCCCCCCACTACTCACGTGATCCTGATCAGCTTCTAATTGGGGTGGAGTTGAATGCTCATTTGAGCATCTCCCTATAAATTTAGATCAGCTCATGGGGGGAGATCTCTGATGGGGGGCACAGTCTCTGATGGGGGTGCTGCTTCAGATTGAGTGCGGCTTTGAACAAGTGCGATGCAGTTAAACACAGCAGTTGAACTAAAGCAGGAGAACATAAGCAGCAGGAAGACACAACAACAGCAAAAAGCTCTACTGCATGCTGGACAGACTGCAAGCAAACACCCTGGGAAACATCTCTTACATACCTGAGACCCACTCCGTGTACCTTTTATACAATACATCCCCTCTTCTCCTTTCCATATTACTATCCTCTGTTCCCAAATCTCATTTCTTTACCCCTCTGCTCCACCCCAAAACTTGTACATCTCCCCCTCATTGCTATCATCTCCCTACTATTGCTCTCATCACCTCCCCAAAATGCCTCTTCCACTCCTCCTTCTCATTTTCCTCTCCTCCGTTCCCAAAATCCATTCACTATATCCCTCTGCTCCTCCCAAACAATTGTATATTGTGTCCTCACTGCTTCCTTCGCCCCTCTACGGCACCCACCACCTCCTCCTATTACTCCACTCTCCCACTGACCCGAATACCTCCACTAGTGGTTTCTCACGCTCCTGCACATCCCATGCCACCTTTCTCACCCTTCTCCTCCTCATAACCGTGGGGGACATCTCCCCGAATCCTGGCCCTCCACCACCTCCTCCTCACAATACCCTCCCGCCTCCACGTCCCGCTGCAACCCCCGCAACTTAGTATCTGTCCCCCTGCTCCCTAAAATCTCCCCCCCGTTTTCATGTGCACTCCTGAACGCCCGATCGGTGTGCAACAAGCTTACCGCCATCCACAACCTCTTTGTTTCCCGTTCCCTCAACCTCCTGGCGATTACGGAAACCTGGATCCAGTCCACTGACTCTACCTCCCCTGCTGCACTCTCCTACGGAGGTCTCACCTGGACCCACTCACCCAGGCCCAACGGTCGTAAAGGTGGTGGAGTTGTTCTGCTCCTGTCACCGCAGAGCACCTTCCGAGTCCTCCCAAACCCCCCCTCCCTATCCTTCTCCTCCTTCGAGGCCCACTGCGCCCAACTATTCTCCCCAACCCCCCTGAAGATTGCTGTGATATACCGGCCTCCTGGATCCATACCCCGCTTCCTGGATGACTTCTCCTCCTGGCTACCCTTCTTCCTCTCCTCTGAGCTACCCACCATCATCCTTGGGGATTTCAACATCCCTGTCAACCTCGACAACCCGGACACAGTCCGTCTCCTCCACTTAACCTCCTCCTTTGCACTTGCACAGTGCATACAATCCACCACCCACTCCGACGGTAATATCCTTGATCTCGTCTTCTCCAACCGCTGCGCTCCCCACAACCTCACTAACACCCCCTTCCCTCTCTCTGACCACAACCTGATTACCTTCTCTATCTCCTCGTCCTCCAACGCCTACCCCTCCAAATGTCACACTACTACCCAGCCGTAACCTCCGCAACCTTAACCCTGCCTCCCTCCACTCTGCAGCTGATCAACTTCACGACCGCATCCTCCCCCTGTCCTGCCCTGACTTGGCTATGACCGCCTACAACAACGCGCTCTCAACAGCCCTTGACTCACTAGCGCCTTTAACCACACGCAACATCAGACCCCGACCGCTCCAGCCCTGGCAGACTGATCACACCAAAACCCTCAAATGACACAGTCATGCCCTGGAGCGACTATGGCGCAAAACCAAATCCCAACAAGCCTTCACCCGCTACAAATCTGCCTTCCACGCCTACACCTCCTCCCTCCATGCTGCCAAACAAGCCTACTTCCTGACCCTCATCAAGGCCCTCTCCTCCAATCCTCGCCGACTCTTCTCCGCCTTTAACTCTCTACTCTCTCTCCACCCCCACCTCCACCCAGCACCTCACTCACTGCCCTTGAGATTGCCAATCACTTCAAAAACAAGATTGACACAATTCGCAAGGACATTGCCGCAACTCACACGCCCTCTCAACCCGTCCCCTCTCACACAGCTACCCCCTCATCCCCCCTCCCCCTCGACATAACCCGCAGGGACTTCGTCGCTGCTCAAACTCTCTCCAACCCCCTTCACCCTCACTCAGCTACCCCCTCATCACCCCTCTCCCACGGCCCCACCACTGCTCTGACCTCCTCTTCCACCCCACCCTACATTCCTCATACTGAAGCCCCCCCCCAACACTCCGCACCTTTGACCTTACTACCATCGAGGAAGTCTCCAAGATCCTCTCTGATGCCCGCCTCAACACCTGCCCCCTCGACCCTATCCCCTCACAACTCCTACGACCTCCCTCCCCCTCCATCCTACGCTGTCTCACCCACATCTTCAATCTCTCCCTCTCCTCTGGCACTTTCCCCTCCCCTCTGAAACATGCACACATCACCCCCATACTTAAAAAGCCCACTCCCTCATCATATCACGACTCGACTACTGCAACTCCCTCCTCACTGGCCTGCCTTGCCACTGGCTGTCCCCGCTTCAGTCGATCCTGAATACGGCTGCCAGACTCATTCACCTTTCCAACCGCTCTGTCTCCGCCACCCCCCTCTGCCACAATTTCGACCAACGAATGAACACCTCTCAGTCGTCGGATGACCGATCGGTTGATTTTCTAATCGTGTATTCCCACCTTTAGGCTGGCCATATATTATACAATTTTCTTGAGATTTTTGCTTTATATTTACCAAAAACCATATAATATGAGGTCAAACCCAAACAACACTTTCAGTTGTATCCAATTAGGCAGGCCCTTGCACTACACAGTTGAAGGTAAATCTAAAGGAAATTGGGCAGAAATTGTACAGAAAATTGTAAGAAAATGGTTTAGTGTGTGGCCATCCTTAATATAGAGCTGTTTCTTTAATATAAGGCCTAGGCCTATGGTCATGTGATTTTTTGCTTGCCTTCCTTGGTTCCTCCTTTCTGCTTTAGGCAGAGCATCAGTCACTTTTAACCCTGATCTTCCCAAAGGCTTTTGGTCTTGTGGACAATTTCTTGAGATCCCATAGCACAATTTCTCCAGTCAAAGTTATTATTTTAGGGCTTCTGCTACTGTTTTACATTTAAAGCGGTATTAAACCTAAAAGCAAACATTTATTATTTTGCGGCTTACCAATTCTCAGATATGGTGGCTGCATTTGTTTTTTTTTTTAGGTAGGTTTTCTTTCTCTTAATTATACCTGGTGATCTGGCCAGTAAGTCTGTTGTTTTTCAAAAAGAACAAGCTCTCTTGTAGATGTAGCAGCTGGAGGGTTGAGAGAAACCATTTAACACTGGCAGGGGTGTGTACAATGATTAGCTTTTATTTATCTAAAACCTTTATCCCTAAAGAAAAACTGTTTGTGGCAACTGCTTAAAAGGTTTGAGCTGGAGTTTGGCTTCAATTTGTTAATGAATCAATATGCCAATGTTTACAAGCTGTCAAACACAAAATACTGATATAAAGCACAAATCAAATACGTAAAAATGAAATAGTAATCCAATATGTAACCTTTTTCATGTTTACTATTTGCAGAATTAATAATAAAAACCACCCCAACTAAGAAACCAAAGGTTAAACCCACCTCAAGAACAACAGGAAGGGCCAAAGCCACTGCACAGCCACCCCCCAATGCAACACCTGATTGGGTGGAACAGCTATTAAAGCTCATTCAAGGTGAAAAAATCCCAACCACCTCCAGACCAACCACAACCAAACCACCAAAACCAAAGAAAGGCGGTAAGAGCAACGAAAAGAGAGGTCAAAGAAAGAAAACAAAAGCAAATGCCGGGGCAGACTCTAGGCCGAGATCTGTGGAAATATATACTGGGTCAGTTCGCTTGGCTAATGGCAATAAACCTGACCGTGGAAGGGTTGAGATCTTTGTCAATGGACAGTGGGGCACGGTGTGCGATGACTTGTGGAACAGCAAAGCGGCAGCCGTTGTGTGCCGACAGTTGGGATTCCCCAATGTTGTAAAGGCTGCCAAACAAGCAGAATTTGGAGAAGGAAAGAACCTTCCCATACTTCTTGATGATGTGGAGTGCACGGGCAAGGAGAAGACTCTACTGGACTGTAAGCACAAGGAGATTGGCAAACACAACTGTGGCCACCAAGAAGATGCTGGGGTCATATGTAGCCACACAGAAGAAGCCTAAAACTGATTTTTTAATCAGATTCATGTATCCACAAGTACCTCACCTGAAAACACAACTCAGATGTTCCTTAAAGTCCAAAGTCTACACCACAGACTTCCCAACAGAAACAGCTTTTGTTCATCATTAAAGTGTATCAAAGTTTTTTTTTTTTTTCAAAATTTTAGATAGAGTAGGGATTAGTAAGAACCTTGGATCTTAATTTCTGTCCGTGTCCCCACTGGGAAGATTCATGCTCTCTATTTGTTTTGGTGACCATCAGGTTGCTTAGTTAACAGCTCTTAATTTGGAGAGATCCCACTCACATTATATTGGTTCTACTGGATAGGAAATTAGGGGGAATCTCTCGAATGGGACACAGTTGGCAAAATAAAACCAAGGGGTTCTTAACCCAATTTACTCAAAATGAAAAAATAAAGCTTGGCTTTAGATACACTTTAACCAATATAACAATGTTCCTAGAATGTTTGCATCCACCGAAATATGGCAGGTGGAAATCCAGAACCTTTATTTGTTCATGAAAATATGTTACCGACAGCATCATGAAGTGTGGGGGACCAAGTGCCACCCCTGGCAGTCCTGCCTCTCTATCTAACAGCCATTGAGGCCCATGCACAAATCCTGCTCTGGACATGCTAGTAATAGCAACGCAAGCATACTTTACAGTATATACCTGAACAAAGTCCCCAGGAGGTTATTGCAGTCAGGAGGTGGTGTAAGGATTGAAATGTGGTGGGGTTGCTACTCATCTAGGGGTGTTTTGCGTAGACCTGGTCAGAGATGACTGGGGTCGAGTTTGGTTTTTGTCTCACAATTTCACTAAGAAATGTCAGGAATGTGTTATCTTTGTATATAGCTATACATTAATCTTTTTGATCAAGTTTGTAAATAATTGTTAGTTTCCAAGGTTTTACGATTGTTTAAATTTAGTGTATCAATCACCTACAAACATTGGAGAAGGTTGTTTTGTCAGTTAGCTATCCTCTCACCAGAGACCAGTGCCATCACTGAGAAAGTAGTTCATCCATTCATCAGAGACCAGTGACATTGCAGAGAAAGTAGTCTATTCACCCATCATAAAACAGTGACATTGCTGAGAATGCAGCCTATCCATTCACTAGAGACCGGTGACATCACTGAGAATGCAGCCTATCCATTCACTAGAGACCGGTGACATCACTGAGAATGCAGCCTATCCATTCACTAGAGACCGGTGACATCACTGAGAATGCAGCCTATCCATTCACTAGAGACCGGTGACATCACTGAGAATGCAGCCTATCCATTCACTAGAGACCGGTGACATCACTGAGAATGCAGCCTATCCATTCACTAGAGTCCGGTGACATCACTGAGAATGCAGCCTATCCATTCACTAGAGACCGGTGACATCACTGAGAATGCAGCCTATCCATTCACATGAGACCGGTGACATCACTGAGAATGCAGCCTATCCATTCACTAGAGGCTGGTGACATCACTGAGAATGCAGCCTATCCATTCACTAGAGGCCGGTGACATCACTGAGAATGCAGCCTATCCATTCACTAGAGACCAGTGACATCACTGAGAATGCAGCCTATCCATTCACTAGAGACCAGTGACATCACTGAGAATGCAGCCTATCCATTCACTAGAGACCAGTGACATCACTGAGAATGCAGCCTATCCATTCACTAGAGACCAGTGACATCACTGAGAATGCAGCCTATCCATTCATTAGAGACCAGTGACATCACTGAGAATGCAGCCTATCCATTCATTAGAGACCAGTGACATCACTGAGAATGCAGTCTTTTGCTATACTAAAACCTGTAAACATCATTGGAAATGCAGCCCGGTGACACCACTGAGAATGCAGCCTATCCATCCACTAGAGACTGGTAACATCACTCAGAATGCAGCCTATCCATTTACTTGAGACCAATAACCTCAATACACACTATGCATTCACTAAAGACAGCACAAAGTAAAAACCATAGGCACAAATTCATATTAAAAAAAGACCACTTTCAGTATATGTAGGTGATTTATCCACTTTTTTAAAATAGAATGTAATCTTTTAACACGTTACCACAACCAAACTTGAAAATTGTTTTCATTAGAGAAAATATTTTTGTATTTTTTATTAAAATTGATATAAAGCGGGTTATGTATTGATTAGCCAAGTGAAAATGTTGCAAAGGTAACATTGTGTATTGATTGGGGGTTTTCCCAGAGTTCAAAATAGTTGATTCAACTTTAATAAGATTTTGGTAATTTCTTACTTTATCCGTATTTTTTGTTCTATTTCCAAAGCTGAATATTTCACGCTTGCAAAAGTATAAAGTGAACAATGCTAGAGCCCAACTTTAAGATGGCCCAGGAGAGTGGTGCTAGAGGTGTCCCGCAGCTGCATGTCCCAGGACTACATGATGAGGCATTCTTTGTACCCAATCATGAACTGGCACAGAAAGCTGGTGTGCGACTGTTGACAATGACCATGCCCCTTGGATTTAAAACCAGCCTCCCACTATAAATTAATCTGAATACAGGAGAGTACCTGTAGTCTGGCCTGTGCTACTTAAAAAAATGCCCCCCCCCCCCAGGCACCAGTAGCTGTTGTTGGTTAGATCCTTTGAAGGGGTAAAGCCTTTGGATAAAGGGCAGATCCCTTTAGAAAACATCCTTCATCAACTTGATGTCAGAGTAGGTATCATTTAGGTATAATTTACCTTTCACCTGAGTTTAACATTAAAGTGCATAATTGTATAGCCAAAGCCCCTGTCAAGTTTTTATTACTGTCTGTTTTCCCACTGGGGCATTTACCCGTTTTTATTTGTCTTGGTGACTGTCATCACCAAGAAAAAGTAATCCCAATTTTTACAGCTCTCATCAGAATGAAAGGTAATGGAGGAGTCTGCTTATATTTAAAGAATAAAGTTCACTTTTGGGGAAAAAATAAGAAATTTACATATTTCTGCAGAATTTTTTTTTCTCAATATACAGTACCGGTATATGTACTCTTTTCAGTCCAGGACAAGAAGTGAAGGCAAATCAATATAAATAAACTTAAAAAAAAAGTTTGACTACAGATACACTTTAAAGCAGAGCTCCAGTCAAACCTAAAAAAAACCCAAAAAGTTAGAAGCTACAAAAATTGTAGCTGCTGACTTTTAAAAAACAGACACTCACCTGTCCCACGATCCAACAGTGTACTCACCGCAGACCGCTTTATCGGCTGTCCTCACTCCCCTGGGCTGACATCTTAAGTTTGGGCACCCAGCTATGACAGCTTGCGACTTCACAGCCAGGTGCCCACTGCGCGAATAGTGCTGCGCCTTGTGAGTGGTCCTGTAGTCTTCTGGGACCTCGCACGTGTCCCAGAAAACTACAGAGGGAGGGAGGACAACTTCCACTTCTGATCACAGCGGAAATGGGAGCGGGTACCTGTCAAAATTGGGCACAGGACCAGTACTTAAACTTCCCCTTTTGAGTGGAGCTACTCTTTAAGTTTGGTATTTAAGGAAACTTCTACCTTTTCTGACATAAAAAAAAAAAAATCACATTTACGTGTCACTTTTTTTATTTGTGAAATTTGTAAAGAAAAAAAAAGAGTGCTCCTGTCTTGATGTTGTTGAACTATCCTTTCTTTCCCTTTAGCACAGGGATAAGGCACACGTCAAGACGGTCATGCAATGTAATTTTGAGGTGTACTTGGAAGATCATCATGTGACATGAATGCAATTTTGCACTGGCCCACTGGGGGAGGGAAGGACCCCTCGGTAGGCCCCTGTTCCCTACAAGTGCTGCTGTCATAGAGCCCAGCCTTCCCCTTTGACTCATCTGCCTTCATGATGTTTCAGAGAGGAATTGACATCTCTGGCGTTCAGATGCTCACTCTCCTCTCAACACTAGCATAGCCCTGCCTGCAGCCACACATGTCATTATGTGAAGAAGCTCTCCAACCCAACCTCTACCTTCTTCTAATGAAATTGCCAGCTGCAGCAAGTACGAATCTCATGCATGTGTGATAATGTAGGATTTAGGGTTGATCTGAGGTGTGATGGTTCAGGAATTGGGACTGATCTGAGGTCTGAAGTTGCAAGGATTGGGGCTAATCTGAGGTGTGAAGGTGAAGGAATTGTGGCTGATGTGAGATGTGAAGGTGCAGGAATTGGGACTGATCTGAGGTCTGAAGTTGCAAGGATTGGGGCTAATCTGAAGTGTGACAGTGAAGGAATTGGGATGATTGAGGTTTAAAGGTACAGGAATTGGGGCTGATCTGAGATGTGAAGGTGCAGGAATTGGCTCATTGGAAGTGCAGCAGGACAAAAGTGCATACTGTAGTTTGAACAGCAGGAGTTTGGAAACAGCCAACTATCATTGCTCTCTTTTGATCTCTTCTTATGAAAAATTTGGAGGAGGAGGAGGAGATTTAAAGTTACACACCCTTAAGGATACCGGTCTTACTGATTGCTGTGTATGCCATGGAGAGGAGCCTTCATTTGTCTCACCATTGAGATCCATCCATTTGGAGATCATCTACCTCCATTTATGCTTTGTGACTCCTTGCGGGTCGCAGTTTGAAGGTGAGCGTGCACACTAGGCAGTTTGTATGTGGTCACTGATTTTTCATGGCTTTGTGCTGAAGATACACACATCATTTGTGTAGTTTGGGGCTGTTTTTTTTTGTTTTTGTTTTTTTTTTTGGGACTAATAGTCTTTTTTTGCCACCTATTTGTCACCATTGATCTTATTTTGTTTTTTCATATATTCTTATGTATTTCATTCACTGAACACTTGATGTTTTTTTACATTCACTATTTGACCACGTTTCATCTTTGTTGCCACTCCTTTATTCCATTTTTATATCACCATTGACAGCATTTTGTTTTTCTTATATGTTATCCTTATGCTATTTATCTACTGAACACTTGATGTTTTTTTACATTCACTATTTGGCCACGTTTCATCTTTGTTGCCATTTTCTTATGCCACTTTTTTATCGCCATTGACAGTGA